GAGGATGAAAGGTTTCATCCGACCAAGTGTGTCGCCGTGGGGCGCACCGGTCTTGTTTGTTAAGAAGAAAGATGGTTTCTTGAGGTTGTACATTGATTACCGGAAGTTGAATCATGCCACCATCAAGAACAAATATCCTTTGCCAAGGATAGATGATTTATTCGACCAGTTGAAGGGAGCCGGTTGTTTCTCAAAGATTGATTTGAGGTCTGGCTATTATCAGTTGCGGGTTAAGGATGAGGATATCCCAAAGACAGCGTTCCGTACACGGTATGGACACTACGAGTTCCTTATTATGCCATTTGGTTTGACTAATGCGCCAGCGGCATTCATGGACTTGATGAACCGCGTCTTTCACGAGTACTTGGACCAGTTCGTGATGGTTTTCGTGGATGACATTTTTGTGTACTCACGGACTCGAGAGGAGCACGAGATCCATTTGGGTACTGTTCTACAGATTTTGCGAGAACACCAGTATCATCCGGACAAGGCAAATGTGGTAGCAGATGCCTTAAGCCGAAAATCTCGTGGAACTTTGGCCGGATTAGCTATTCGGAAATGGAAGATGCTTAATCATCTGGCGGAGATGGGATTGTATTGTGTTGACAACGATGATTGCAGTGAATCGGCATTCTTGTTTAGTCTTGTGACTCAGCCTACTCTTGTTGTACGAGTGATTGAGTCACAGAGACGGACCCGGATTTAGATGTCATTCATGTTTTGATCTCCAGTGGTGAGACAGTGAAAGATTGGACCTTGCATGCAGATGGGGGTCTACGGTTCAGGGTTATGTTGGTGGTTCCCACAGTTTGTCGGGAGGACGTCTTACGGGAGTTTCATACTTCCCGCTTTGCAGTTCATCCAGGTGGTACTAAAATGTATCACAACTTGAGGCGTCAGTATTGGTGGAGTGGGATGAAGAAAGATGTTACACAGTTTGTGGCTAAATGCCTTACCTGTCAGCAGGTGAAGGCCGAGCATCAGAAACCGACGGGGTTGTTGCAACCATTGCCTGTAGCGCAATGGAAATAGGAACATATTACTATGGATTTTGTGACGGGTCTTCCAAGGTCACGGAGAGGCAACGAGGCCGTATAGGTCATCATTGATAGACTAACCAAGACGACTCACTTTTTGCCTGTTACGGCAACAGATGATGCAAAGGCACTTGGTATTCTTTACGTGAAAGAGATTGTAAGGTTACATGGAGTTCCAGTAACAATTGTCTCAGATAGGGATGCCAAGTTCACTTCGAAGTTCTGGGAAGGACTTCAAACAGTGTTTGGCTCAGCATTGCATCTTAGTACGGCATTCCATCCACAGACAGACGGCCAGTCGGAGCGTACTATCCAGATCTTAGAGGATTTGCTTCGGGCATGTGTGCTTGACTTGGGTGGCAATTGATAGGACCACCTTCCACTCATTGAGTTTGCATACAACAACAGTTATCAGGCGAGCATCGAGATGGCTCCATTTGAGGCGTTGTACGGCAGACCTTATAGGTCTCTAGTTTGTTGGACAGAGGTGGGCGAGACAGCCGCCTTAGGACCCGACATTGTACTAGAGACTACTAAGTAGATTAAGTTAATCAGATAGAGATTGCTCAGAGCCGACAAAAGAGCTATGCAGATAGGCAGAGACGACTGCTATCTTTTAAGGTGGGAGACCACGTTTTTCTACGAGTTTCTCCACGGAAGGGTTTGATGAAATTCGGGAAAAGTGGCAAGTTGTCGCCACATTCATTGGACCGTTTGAGATTTTGGACCGTGTAGGAGAAGTTGCCTACAGACTTGCTTTGCCACCACAGATGGACAAGGTTCACAATGTTTTTCATGTGTCGATGCTACAGAAGTACGAACCAGATCCATCTCATGTTTTGGATTGGGTGGACGTGGACATTGATGAGAATGTCTCCTATGAAGAGGGCCCAGTGCAGATCCTTGACACACGACAGAAGGTGTTAAGGGGCAAAACAGTACAGTTAGTGAAAGTTCTTTGGAGACACCACGGAGTCGAGGAGGCTACTTGGGAGCTTGAACAGCAAGTTCACTCCAGGTACCCAGAGTTGTTTTCTTCCCTAGGTATGACTTGATTTCGGGGACGAAATCATTTTTAAGTTGGGGAGATTGTGATGTCTCCAAATTTTCTGCATTTTTCATTTTTTCAGGAATTTTGTCGCCGTAAGGGCATTTTCGTCTTTCACGTTTAACGTACGGGATTTTAGTTGGGTTCATTCGCATTATGTTCATTAAAATTAGTGTAATTTTATGTGAGTGCAAATTGTTAAGTGTGTATATGTGTATATGGTGAGAATTACAGTTAGAAAGAAAAAGGAAAATAAAAAGAAAAAGGTAGGGTCCACCATTTGTCATAAAAGAGGTTAGAGATCACTTTTTTTGATCCCATTTCTCAATTCTCTATCTCTATCCCGCTGGTACACTCTCTCCTCTCTCTTACTTGATTTTTTCTTTTTTCTTTTGAGCTCAAACTTCAACTTTAGATCTCTCCTTCATTTCTTGATCATTTTGGGTGCCGTTTGCGGCAAATCGAAGCCCACGACGAGCTCTTTCTTTTGATCGGAGCCAATCTTCATTTGGTCACCAATTGGGGGATCTCTAGAATCCTAGGGTTTGAAGCAAATTGGGGATTTTGCATCATTTAAGGTAGGGGTCTCTAATTCACACTTTTCTTGCACTTTTGTGAGTTTCTCTACTTGAATTGTTGTTAAGCATGCTTAAATTAAGTTGATTGCTTCCTTAGATGATCTAATTGAGGGTATGAAATATGTGATTATGTGAAATAGTTGGTTTACTTGAAAAGCATGATAAATGTTAAGTTTCTATGTCTAAAGTGTATTAATTGCTAGCTATGACGTTTGGAAAGTATGCCTACTTGTATTGTTGAAAATCCCTTAGTAACATAGCATTGAAGGCATGACACATATATATATACAGATCATTGGGTTCGCATGGATGGGAATGATTTTCTTTGAAACAATGAAAAGGGGGATTTTTCATGGGAGAATTTTGATGAAAAGGTTTTGTGAAAACCCGGTCGCCGCGGGGGTACCAAAGGGCCGGAGGGTTAATATAGCCTAGAGGGAACTAGGGAGATTGCCCTAGCGTGGTTGAGCTAACTGGCTCAAAAGGATGCCGCGGGGGTACTAAGGGTCAGGGACACTAGCCAATCCTACTCTTATGTCGCTGCGGGGTCACCAAAGGGCGGGCCATATTAACCGTTTGAAAGTGATGGTTTTGAATGATGAAAATGGGGAGTGACATTGGCATGCATTGCATTCCATTGCATCATATTGTGTATGCTTGAGATTAATTGTTATGTGGTTTTATCCCAACATTTTATGATCCCCATCTCCCATTGTTCTATTCTTTGTTTGGATTCACGGGGTGACAAGAGGTGTGTCTTAGGCACTACCTACTGAGCTTTATGCTTACCCCATCTTATTTAATTTTTTTCAGGATCGGGAAAAGAAGTAGTAGATGCCGACCTCCCATAAGCATGGAGATGACTAGCACACCATTTTGATACTTTTTGCATTGTCCTGTACTTTTGTAAAGTTTTATGTACTAGAAAAGAATATCTATTTGTAAATCATGGCCATGTAATATAATTGAGACACTTGACTATATTTTGATGTAAATGGAAACCTTGTAATTGCTTAGAATGAATGGTGGGTTGGTGACGTCTTGTAGGAACATTTTATGGTATCTAATTCTTGTATAATGATGAGCAGTTGCCGTGAATTCGGAGTTTGAGTCCATATCAGGTTCATTGTGGGATTTGCATGCATTAAGCATAGCTTGAATGCCATTCTAGAAAGCATCAGGGTTCAGATGCCATGTTTCGGCCGGCTGATCCCCCTCATCAGCCAACCGAAACCCCAGGTTCGGCCGACCGAACCCCATCGTCGGCAGACCGAAACACCTGCACAGTGAAAGTCCCGAGAGCATACAATTATTCTCTTCGTTTCGGCCGACCGACCATGTAGGTCAGCCAGCCGACCATGCCCCGTCAGTCGACTGATGAAGGTCCGTCAGCCGGCTGATTGTTTCTTTTTGACTTGAAATGTTTGATCATCAGTGTCAGCTAGTGTTCTTGAGTACTATGAGCCCCCGGAGTGAGTTGCATGACAGGTTTGAACATAGGAAGGGACATGTATGACCCAGTTGACCTCGGGTTCGGGTAAGGACCTGGATAACGGTCCGGATCCACAGATTCGGGTCGTTACAGAAACTTGTTCCATTAACTCCAGGTGCCAAACCTGTTGGTTATCGCTGGGTGTATACTGTGAAGTATCTTCCAGATGGGTCCGTTGAGCATTTAAAAGCACGTCTTATTGCCAAAGTTTATACCCAGACTTATGGTATTGACTATGATGAGACGTTTGCCCCCATTGCTAAGATTTCTTCTATTCGTGTTTTGATTTCTTCTATTCGACAAATAGTGTAAAAATGTCTTTTTGCATGTTGACTTAGCAGAAGAGGTTTATATGGAGCAACCAACTGGGTTTATTGCTCGGGGGGAGTATCTTCACACTATTTGTCGCCTTAAAAAGGCCCTGTAGGGATTGAAACAATCTCCACGGGCTTGGTTTGGAAAATTCTCTGAGGCGGCATTAAAATTTGGTCTTAACAGATGTCAGACCGACCATTCGGTATTTCACCAGCGCATTAAAGCTGGCTTCATATTTCTTGTGGTGTATGTAAATAATATTGTGATTACAGGTGATGATTCTGAAGGCATTGCTAAGTTGAAGTTGTTTCTGCAATAACGATTCCACACTAAAGACTTGGGCAAACTTAGGTATTTCTTGGGTATTGAAGTTGCTAGATTCAAGAAGGGTATAAGTTTATCCCAACGAAAATATGTGTTGGACTTATTAGAAGAAACAGGTATGTTGGGTGGTCGTTGAACATGGAATACAATACATGCATGAGAATTTCAAGCAGCTTCCATTTTTTAAGCTAGATTTACAACAATACCTTATCAGCAAGCTTTGGAAGATTTTCATGAGGATGCTCCGCAAAATACTGCTTCAAGAGCTTCTTATCAAGCTATATTCAGCCAAAAAGAAACATCAACTATCACAAAGATTATATAAAAAAATAGATATGTACTATTTATGTTTGAAAATGAGCAATTCCAGGAAATTAGACATTCGTTTTGAGTTTAGATGGCCATGTTCAATGATATACCTTAGATTCATCAACTGTAATAGGAAGATGTAGAAGATACTGCCCCGATTGTGCAACATCAATCTCATCATTAGTAGCTATCTTGAAATTGCTTTTATCCATCACCTATATGAAAATAGAGAGAAAAGAGTTCAAGAAAATGGAAAAGTCAAGTAGAGCAGAAAGAATAAAATTCTAAGAAGACCAAACATTTTACCTACAGAGCAAATGACATGCTCAATTCTACTGTAACCAATATATACCATCAACAACATAAAGCAATCGAAAATAGGATATCATGTACACCATAATATGTGTTATAGATTACATTATCACGAAATATATGTCACGTCTTCTCTACCTAATATAAATCCAATTGGTTGTTATATTCTTCCTTGAAGTACCGTTAGCGGTGTACATTACCAAAAAAGAGGAAAAGTATTGGATTTTATGTCTACTTAAGTTGCGCTAGGTTTTACTCACATGAAACTCAAGAGAGCTAGTGGATCTGGGAAAGGCAAAGAGGATAAAATACTAAAAAGATCATATCTTAAAGTTCAAAGACATCAGAATTCAAGAATGGAGACATCATCCCAAAAGTTGAAAGATGAACATCATTACAGAATTGGGCTAGATAATCCAAGTGAGAGCTAGAATTTATTGTAAAGTTATTTTTGAATAACTTTAAGTTGAAGCTCAAATCAAAGACCATGCATTATAATTCAAATCTATATTGAGTCTTTTAATCGTAAGTAAATTGGCCACGAATTTCATTATTATTCTTCATGAGGCCTTTGCTCAGGTTGAGTCCATCCAAGTATCTATAGGCTTTGGAAAAACTCAACTAATGTCACTCATAAACCAGGACCACACATTGAATTCATATTATTTGATTTGGTCTCTTAGTTTTCGTACTTAGGACTTGAACTTCTATTGATTCAATATTTCATAGTCTCAAGTCTATTGGAATTGAGCCTATGTACTTCGAATTTCAAAATCTTTGAATCAGGCTAATTCAGTCGACCACCTTAAAAGCAAGAGTCAACTGATGACTATCACTTTTTCACCAGTCACCTTATGCACTCTAGAGAGTTGGGCCTTACTAGCGATTTGAATGTCAGTTAATTGATTCCCTTGGATAAGTCAATTTGGACTATTTAGAGAGTTGTAACACTCAAAGGATGTACGGTTAAGTTGACCCATCTATTTGAATCAGTTGAGCTGTCTAGACAAATAGTCAACTACTTCATAAGCAAGTCGACTTGTCTGCATTGGAACTCTAAATCAAACGGCTAGTTCAGTCGTCTCTTCAAGCATTAAATGCTTACAACAGCTCTATTTTTTGAAGAGACTATAAATATGGCCTTAGATCAGCATATATATGTATGAAACTGTATGAATCTTCTTTGAAAATACAGAGGAAACACTCTTGAGCTATCTTGATCATCATTCATACACATCTAACCGAGATTGGGCTATCAACTGAGAGTATTCAATCTTAACTTTAGGATTTGAGTTTAAAGTTGTACAAATCTATCTTCTAAGAGATACTCCATTTTACCCCAAGGCTCCCTCTCGGCTTTTGTGTGACAAAGATTACAGGCTCACGTCAGTCTTTGTATAAAAGAAGATAAGACTCACTTTTAGCGAAAAGAGATAGGATTACCCCAGCCTTGGTATGAGAGGATATAGGCTTACTTTAAGGCTTCGTGTGAAAGGAGACAGGTTAAATCTCAGCCTTTGTGTAAGAGGTGTAATGGTTGTGCTCTTCACCACAAAGAAGGCCCAATAGTGATTTAGGGAATCCTCAGGCGAATGCTTACGGCGTGGACGTCGATAAAGATCCGAACCTCGTAAACATCTTGGAGCTTGAATCTCTCTATCCCTTAAACTCCATTATTGTTTATGCTTGTATGTATCTCACTTCCATATATACGTTGATTTCACTTGCATTCAACAATAATCGAACAAGCTACCACTGTTTGCCATAAGACCCAATTCACCCCCCTCCCCCGGTCAGTACTTGGGCTACAAGGGTCTCTCGCAAGAGTTAAAAACACGTAGGGAGAAGACCAAAACTAACATGGTTTGAGATAGTAAGGTAAGATATGATAGCATATGATTTGACAAAAGTTATGGCCTCAAGTCCCCAAATAGTTGGGATTTTTTTTTTTTTTTTTTTTTAAAGTTCAACTGTAGCTATTTCATGACCAAGTGAATCACTGAGCCTTCGATTTGATAGTGATGTAAGGCATGGTCTCCGTGACTACTAGGTCATGGTGTATCAAATTGGTATTAGGAAAATTGCAAACCAATAGGCAATGGTTTAGAACTAAAAAGTAGTAAAAATAGAAAATTAAGAAAAATATATCCATTAAATAAGCAAAATAAATCATCTAATGCCTATAAAATTGTCTAAAAGATCAATAGAGGCGCTACCAAACTAGTATCCTACAATATTACACAATGGTTAGATGTAATTTTTTTCAGTGGGGGCGACTTGTCAAGTAAACAATAATTGTGGATTACCTTCCTGACATTCCTTGGAGGGGGAAGTTTCAACCCTAATCCGTAAGGCCAGATTTTCGACAATAATAAGTAGAACATTTAAACCAAAATAATAAATGCAAATTCTTAATTATTGATTAATATATTTTTTTTCATTTGGCACATTTACAATTATTTTTAACAAATTTCACTTTTTGAATGCGTTGATATTCTTACTCCTTGGAGAAGCTCAATACGGATTTTTGTCGCTAATGGGACTTGAAACCCTCGACCTTTCGCTCTAGAAGGTAGATGAAAATACCAGTAGGCTTCAATTATTGGTGGTTGTTCTTGTTCATTGATCAAGTGTTAGAAATAGATTGAACTTTCCTATTCACACTTCTTTCAAAAGAGAGGAAAAGAGTTACCACTTAGTCTTTTGCTCAAGTAGTATCCTTTTTTTCTTTTTCTTTCTAATTTTCTAAATAAAAATTTAAGGGTTCAAGCCTCTCGGGGGCAATAATTGATATGTGTGTTTGAGTTCGGATATGTTAGTAGCTTACCAATAAAATATATACATAAAAAGAAAAAGAAAGAAAGATATTGGGAGAGAGTCCAAGAGAAAGACTTGGTTGATGGGTGGATTTTTAAGTAGGGAGCTAGTTGTAGAGTCCGAGAAAAGAAAAGTAGAGGGGTATGTGAGAAGAGAGAATAATTTGAAAGGAAAATATGTTAAAATAAAAAGGTTTGATAACTATAAGAAATGGTGGCTTAAGATACATGAAAAGATATGTATATAAAATTAAGATAAGAAAAAATTAATTGGGGCATCTAAGATTTTTTATTATTTTTAGAAATTGTGGTTTTAGAATTATGAAAAGATATATATACCAAATTTTTAAATAAAAAAAATGAATGGGGAGGCTGGGTCCTTGGTGGCTCCATCCCTAGAAGACATACATGACTTTTAGCATTTTTTCTGCACAAAGTGGTTCAAGAACAGACCTAACTTTACATTGGCTTGTTCACAGAGCTTGTTCTTATACTCAAACATGTACCTGACATTTGTTAGCCAAACTTTTGAAATTACATCAAGCAATAACCCTCTTGAAGAAACCAAAGCCAAGGTACCAAATATTCAAGACTTCATTCTTCTAAAGTAATTTTTTATTTTTATTTTTTATAGAAGAGTGAGAAAGGTAAGTTTTATTCTTTCGGGTGTTCGGATACATTTGCAAGTGGTGTAGGTAGAATAGAATGAAAGAGAAACCAAATTTTGGAGTCAATGAGTGTGTGGTGAGTGAGCAAGCTTATAGAGAAAAGGGGGCATCCGGTGAAAGCTGAAGTCAAAAGACATCAAGATCCTCCAAGTTGAAAATCCTCTAGTTATCCTAAGTGAATTCTCCTGTGTTCACATGTATACTTTTACTCAAATCCATGGGATGCAGTGTGCTTCTTCTCCTCCTACACAGGAGGGATTGAGGGTTCAAATCCCCAATGTGTCAACAGTGGGCATGCGCGTGAGAATTGGTATGTGATACCAATATTCACACATATATATACACACACTTAAATGGAAATGAATGAGAGCAATTTTTGACATCCTATGTGAATTATATGACTCCGCTGCCTTTTACATATCAAATTAAATATTAAAAATCTGAGTTTTATACATATGATTATGTATGGAACAATTCAATTGACAAGAAAATTAGAAAAGGAAAAAAGAAAAAAGTTAGATGCATCGGTCATGATACCTGAAATAAGTATGTCAAGAATTTTTGTTCAAGAATGTTGATCTCTTCTGGGGATAGGTTGTGTTGCTCCAAGTTCTGAGTCCCATGAACAGGATCAAAGAGGGAGTACAATTGCTGTAACCACAATGTACATCAAACTAAAATTAGAACAAAATAAAAAGAAATAATAACATGAACCTAGTATGGATGTTATATGTCAATGAAGATTTTTTTATCTTAGAAAGGTCAATAGAACATGATACTACCATTAGATCCTCAAATTGTAGAAGATACCAAGTTCTAATTGTGGACTCAACTCTCTTGCTAAGCTTTACAAATTCAGCACGGTCAGAACTCTGCTCTGCAAAAAATTTCAGTAACTCAAAGAATTGAGGTCCACTCAGAACTGTCAAGATTGAAATCATAGTCCAGAACTATAACCGAAAAAAAAAATAAAAAATAAAAAAAAAACCCTCAGCAAAAAAAAAAAAAATTCTTACCTTTGGTACAGATGGAGCACAGCTTTGTATTATAATGGTCATGCTCTTAAACTTCACTCAATTCAACAAAGTCATGTGTCAACTATTTCAAGTCAGCTACATATCTTTTTTCACCATTTTGCTGTCTAAAACCATAACTTTAATTAAATCTCTCAGAATCATAAGTTTCTTTACTAATCTCAACCAATATCTGTTTCATCTCTTTCCCTTAGCATTATTATTAATTTGGGTCACATCATACTTTCTCATCAGTATAGTTATTACCATTTCAACAAGGTCAAACCATTTTACTTGATTTTTCCTTATTTTATTTCTAATGTGGCACCTCAACTGTTTCACAAATGTAATCAGTTCTAGTTTTATTTTTCCTATTTTATCACAATTAATCTCATCACTTACATTTCAAATACACTTATTTTTTAAATACATTGTTTCTTAGTTGCCAAACATTCTGCTCTAGAAAGTTAGGTTAGTCTACTGTCTTACAAAATTGACCTTTATTTTTTATGTTTTAGGATAAATCCCATGATATACCGCAGGCACTACTCTAATTCTCTGAGGACCCTTATTATCAATATCTCCGATTTGAAATAAAAAATTAAAAAATTAAGTCCAGGTAATGAGAACGTCCTTTTCCTTTTCTCTTTTTTTTTTTTTTCTTGTATCTCTTGACCCTCAGTTCTGCTACATTTTCATTTGTGTTTCTAATTTGACTAAAGTCACATTTCATGTACTAAGTTTTACTCTATCGTATCATCATCATTCTTGTCTTTATCCCATATGGATGAGGTCATCTATCTGGTTCAATTCTAATCGTGTAATGTTAACATTGAAATTATTTAATTGCGCAAATCATGTGGTCAAACACTTTAGTATTACATAAAAAATTACTGAAACTCTAATTTCATATTATTGATGTGATAGGTAAAATAAAATGGAGATACTGAAATTTTTTGTAATGCCAATGATAAAAATATTTTAATGACAAGCATCATTTTCTTACTTTAACTGCGATCTTCTTGATGGTAGGTTTGGGTTGAAAAATGCAAGATAATTCATGGACATACACACGAACATAGAAGTCCAGTAACTGATCATCAAAAGTAAAAAATCACAATGGGAGTGGGGAGGATGCCTGCAGCTGGTTCTGATAAGTAAGATAATACACGTAAAGAGTGTGTTTGTGTGTGTGTGTGTGATATATATAGACATGCAGATAAATTAGAAAGGATGAATGTTGTGCGGAAATACCAATGAGGTTGGCCAAGGTCATGATGAGCTTCGGCTTTGGAATTGGAATTACCGATTCTCGCTCCAGCCGGATAACTTGTTTGATCTGCTTCTTCTTCATTATCTCTAGAGCCCTGTATACGTCTGTAACTCTTATTTGCCTTAGAGCTGTGTTGGTTGGGTAACTCCTCGTCTCCTCCCCCAATATTCATTCATTTATTTATTTATTATATATTATTAACTAAATAAGAACTATTCAAGAGGTTGGAAAGTTTCTAACGGTATTTTCGATCTGTCCAACGGTTGGTAAAGTTGAGAGGCATTTGGGGGTTCTCTAGACCCCAAAAAGACGGATCTAGTATTTGGTAGGGTACCCAAAACCTTAAAAAAAAAAAACACTTTAAAATGAAGCTACATACGCTCCAATTCCCACCCCATTCATTGCCTGTCACACATCAATCAGTGTGCCCGGACCAAAAACTGAAATTTTTAGGGCAAATTTCGTAAAGCCCCCAAAAAATCCCAACCAGTTTTTAAAACCCCCAATAATATAACAACGTTATTATTTTACTCCAACTCTGTCAATTGGCCGTTAAAAGTATGTGAAATGACTAAATTACCCTTATTATATTTCCTTTTATTTAAAAAATCAAAAAATCATATTTTTGAAACTGAATGAGAATAGTCTGCACCACCGACGCCTCTGAACTCATGATGAAAGCCTTCCCCTCCAACCGCTTCCCAACGGCATTTGTTCGCTAATTTCCCTTCTCCATTGATGACCACAGCTTCGGACTCTGGCTTTGACGACTCCGAAGCTCCTATTCCAAAAGCTTGTCAAGTGAAACCACCAAATGATAGTGAACCATTATGGCCAAATCCACATAATTTTAATTTCAGTCAAATTTTTGAAATTTTTAAGCATTGACGGAAGATAAACAATAAGAAAGCAAAAGGCAAAAGTGAAATCTTTGAGAAACAAATCAAGAGATCTTCCTTGTGTGTGAGAGAGAGAGAGAGACAGATGAAGAGGGAAGGGATTTTGGGTTTTTGAGTGGTGATTGTGTGGACATGAGCCTAGTGTTCGGTGCTCACTTCTTGGAACGCATCATGATTTGTGGTCTTTTGTAACAAGATCGGTAGGTTGCGGTAGAAAGCCCATCAAAGGGCTCGCCGACGTCACCACGGTAAATTCATCGTTGGTTTGATCACCATCTCCGGTAGAACCTGTAGGGTCGTGGGCATCATGGTGTTATCACCTTAGGTCTGCCTACCTGAACCGTGAATTTTGCAAAGAAATCAGCACCATTTGCAGCAGCAAACCTATCTACGGGTTCGCCGGCGAGAGCTTCATCCGAAAATACACCAGTGCCGATACTCCCATGAGCAGATGATGGTCCTTTGGTTGTGACGACTTCGGAAGGTTGCAAGCTTGTCACCAGAGATCGGCTCATGTAGTTCCCGGAAGCTCGCTTGCTTTTGGCTGGAAGGAACTTTGTTTCTCACTTCTCACTAGTTTAGTGACGTCAAAACCTATTGTTCTTCACCAACATTCACATGCCAGGGGTATTGTCAATTTGTCAAAAAATTTGTTCACCACGCGCTGAGTTAACGAGGCCAATTGCCAGAGTTGGGATAAAATGATAACGTTGTTATATTGTTGGGGGTTTTAAAAACTGGTTGGAGTTTTATGATCACTTATTGATAGTTTTTGGGGTTTTATGAAATTTGCCCATATTTTTATAACCTTTGCTGACATCATAATTTAAACTCCTTAATGACCACTGGATTCACTGTTTTAAAAAAGAAAAAATTACTAACCTGGAATCACACCAGTTCACGTGCTAAACACAGGCCAACTCTTCAAAACACATCCCCACGGTGGCCAATTTATTGTGGCCACAACCAACACCAGGGCAGAGCTGTAAATATTCAATGTAAATAACGTCTCCATGGGATTTGTTCAATGTGTGATCTATATATATATATATATAGAAAGGCAAACCAATAAACAAAAAAATGGCAGCTTTATTGCTTAAAAGCAGTTTGCTTCTTGTAGTGTTCCTACCCTGCAAAGTTATGGGAAGACATTTCTCCACCAAGGGAGAAGAAAAATCACAATGAAAATGAAAATATAATTTGTTCTCGCCTCTCAAATTAAGAGATCCCTTAATTTTACCACCTTCCTCATAACCTACCCCTACCTCCCTGCCTAGAATCTAGTATATACAAGGTGTTGGATCAGTTCTTGTTTGTGTATGTACATATTTCCATTGCAAATTTTGTGTACTCGACTTCCCAAAAACCCTGGCTGAATTGTCTTCCTAAAAATAAATACCCAAAACACCTGTTGCAAGCATCTTGTATTCTACATCTGTGCTCATCTGACTTCCAACCAAGCTCATATAACTTGCAATCCACTTGTCCAAACTAGAAAACTCCACATGTTTAATACCTTAGTGATTCCAAGACCTGAGGAATGGTTTCCCCATAGCGTCCTGTAAAGCAGAAGTCTGATTTGGCAGGTTCATCCATCCTATATTATTGTTCTTTACGGCAGCTGAAGCTTCCTGCCCACTCAAGTAGTTAAGTGGATGAGCTGTCTGTTGCAACAAATTGCCTGGTATGGGAACACCCCCACCCACACCACCATAATTTGCAGACTGAATGAACTGTTCAGTGGAGCCCATTGAATCAAAAGGGACAGCAGAATGTAACTCGTTACAATGAGATAAAACACTGAAGAGGCTCTGATCGGCATTGTTTCTACTTCCAATGCTCTGGCTTGGGCCAACAGCACCATCCAAGCCAGGCCAACCAGCACGGGCTCGATGCTCACCAGAAAACCAATTCTCACCCAACTCCCCACCATTCAAATGGGACCGGAGAGGTGCTGACATGCTGGGAGTATTCACAGCCCAATCCTGAATATTGACAGGCAAGAAGTGTTCTTGCCTTGGAAATGAGTATCTACCTCCATCAGAGTACACGTTCTCTTGAATATTTTGACGCGTGTAAAGATCAGTCAATCTCTTCTGCCTCACCTCCAATGGCAGTGATGGATGCAGCTGCTCCTGGAAGTGCCCAGAAGATTGACCAGCTTCCATCGATACATTGGCTGTTGGCTGGAAATCTAACCGTGTCTGTTTCCGCTCGTGATGGTAAGATAAACCCCCTCGGCCATTAAAGTAATGTTGAAGTAGCTCATTTCGGTCTTGGTTAGGGTAAGGACTGACAAAAGACTGATCATTGGAGTGTCTGTGCAGCATATTTTTCTGGGTGTCTTCTTCATGGATGTTAGATTCCAGATCAATCAATCGGGCTGGTTGCTCCTCAAGAACTTGTGGATGCCCAACTGACAAGTCACTGGGAGAAGTGTAATCACGGTTAACAGAAGTAGAATGAAAATAAGAATTTGGCACGCCAACTGCTGGCCAAACATCAGTAGCAGAAGAGAGAGGATCCCCCTGACTGACAGCTACCTCCAAATGATTCAAATTTTTTGGGTACTCTGATACGATAGGAGGGACCTTGTCTGTTTCTGCAATCAGATGGTCCTCATCAGAATTCAAATGCACGGGGTGTAATTCAGAGGTACCACTGAGGGAAGTAAGTTGCTGCACATGCTGATTCTCTGAGGAAACATGAACAGATTCATGAGCATCTTCTATGGAGGGTTCATGGTTTGGTGCTCTGTTATACATCTGCTCCTGCAGGATGCCACCAAGGTTCTTTTTCTCTTCATCCTGACCACCCAATAATGAACTGACAACAGTTAAGATACTGTAACTAATGAAGATCATTAGAAAAAACATGAATTTAGTTGAAAGGTTAACTTTACATGCACAGATACCCCAACACACAGCAAAAAAGAGAGCACAGTACCAACCTCTAATGCAGTGGTAGGCTCATGATTTGCTCCATTATCCATCTCCTGAAGCAAGCTATCTGAATTCTCTCTCCCCTCACCCTGAACACCCAATAAAAATTTGCCAAGTTAAAATTTAACAACTAATGAAGATTACCAACAATAGCATCACCGGTGAAGGAAAATGAAAATTTGCTGAATGTGGAACAAATAGCAATTTGATGTTATATGTCATAGCCTCCAATAGTCACATCACAAACTCAAAGAAGAGGGGGCATGGTAAAAAACCTCTGTTGTATTTGTGGTTTCATGGTCTGCTGATCCATCATCCGTCGGCTCTGATAGCAAGCTATGAGTGTTCTCTTTCTCTGCATCCTGATCACCCAGTTAAAAACTGACAAGTGAGCATAGCACAACCAATGAAGATATGATGAACATACAGGCTCAACAAAACTCTGCTAACATTCAACATACACTCGTATAAACAAGGACAAAAGAAGGGCTTCGTTTTTTTTGATAGATAATGAAAAGATTTTATAAATACGCTGAAACGGGCAGCGCTCCCAAACCAAACAACTGCCATCCAAGACGATACTAAAGCTTCAAGCTATCAACAAAATCCAAAAGACAATCCACTGACATACAAAAGAAGGGCTTCGTATCAACCTCCTTAACAAATTTCAGTTTATCTTCCATATCTTGCTCTAAAGACTGCATCAATTGCCATTTCTGTAGCTGCCTTCTTCTCCAGTTCACAAATGCTGCTGGAAGATCTGTGTTTGCCAAACGCAACCTGTATAAACGACCAAAATTTAAGGAGGGAAATCAATGAGCTTGAAGTAAAACAATCTTTGGTGTTCATTTTGCAAAACACTAACCAGTGGTCATGCAAATTCTGCCGTTCTTCTTCCTCAAATACTTCATATGGTTGCACATGAAAAGTATCAAGGTTACCTAAAACACGATTAAGAGACCTAGATTGAATGCTATTGCTAGAGTGCTTCATACTACTCTTGACACGTTGATGCTGCTCCTTGCTAATCTGAAATATGAGATAGACCAATGATCAGCTATAGACCCTCTTATAAAAGGTTCCTATTTGTTTCCTTATCAACCAGAAAAGGAATTCCAAAATTTTAGAAATCATATACTTAAGACAGTTGTTTGAGCTTGATTTAAGTCCTAGCCGAAGTTTCATGCACAAGTTTGGAAGCGCCAGACAACGGTCAAGGCAAAATCCAAATTTCAGACAAGAATAAAATAAAGTGGGCTGTAATAATTATTTTGAAGTGTGCATGGAATGAAGCGAAAGAATTTTGAAGACCAAAATTCCCAATATTTACAACTAGAAAACCACGTTTAAGAACAAATGTACAGGCAAGTAAATTCATAGTATCTTTTTTTTTTTTCCTAGTTGGTACTCACACACACATGCCTCTACTGAGGCTCGAAGCCCTGACCTCTCTTTGAGAAGTAGGGGCTTGATACCGCTAGGCCACTGGCCTGTTGGTAAATTCATAGTATCACACGTGGGTTTTTGTAGAATTTAGGAGGCAAGTAAATTCATAGTATCCCGTGGGTGTTTGTAGAATTTAGGATATATTATATGAACAACCTTGATATAAGACATATATTTGGCACCATCACTGCAATAGATATTTTGCTTGTGTAGCTTCTCTCCTTTTCTGGGTCTTGCAACCACCTTAAGCCCATCTGATGAATTCTCATATTTCTCCATCGAATTTTTTCTGCAGATCAAGAAACCCAACACAAATAATTAGACTCCTTTAAGACTAGTTGGAAGATGAGAACTGTATCCAAATAAAATATACATGGCACAAAATAATAATCACAAGCAGCATAAGAAAAGAGTATAAAAAAAAAAAAAAAAAAAGAGATACATGAAAACAATAAAACATAGGGGTGAATTACTCTGATCTGACATGATGTGTGGTTTTTGCACCCAAAGACCAAACTTTTGTCAAAATTGTGGTCAATCTCCCCCAAGCCATTAATTATCTATTAGGACCGTCAAAAAATTTACATTGAATGTTAAGATTGCCCTTAGTTGAACTGAAATCACATTGTTATCCTTCTAATCTTTTTTAAATGCTGAATGTCAAGATTGCCCTTGTTTGAACTGAAATTACATTGTTATCCTCCTAATCTTTTTAGTGACAAATTTACCCTCCATTCATTAATATATCCACCGGCCTTCACCAAGTCTCCTGTTCTCTCTCCTCCGTGCTCCTCCACCGCCACCACCATCGACGACCACGGTTTGCCACCATCCTCATTCCTCTCTCTCTCTCTCTCTCTCATTCCCTTACATCCTCACCACTTGTCTTTCTTATGTCTATCCATCCCTCTGCTATCCATCTCTATTGAATCCTAGCTAAGATCAAATACAAACCCCATACTTAAAATTTTCATTGCAGAGACATTGATGGACCAACCTAAACCTACTTCCCAAACTTGAATCCACCACTGAGAGCACCGACGCCAACGGCAATGATGCCAACAGCATTTTTGGTGGCAGACATTATATAATTTGGAGAGAATCTGTGTAAAGTATAAACGCACTGGAATAGCTCATGGTAAAGGCTAGAGAGCTTGATTACCGTCTTTGCAGCTCTCCATCCTTCATCACTATGTTCTGATTATCACTACTGCAAGCTTTCTCATCGGTCCAGGAACAAGATTCAGATGTTGCTGCAAGGTTCTCCTCAGAGTCATGAAACCTATATTCATTCTCAGCATGCTTTCTTGCCCTGCTGCTCATAAAATTTATTACAATATGTCTAAGTGAGACACAAAACATATTTTGAAAAAAAAAATTATAATCAAATAAAGAACTGATCACTGACTCAAATATACCACTATTCAAAATTCAAACAAGAAGTAAAATCACCCATCGGAAGCGAATCAACAATAATAAAGTATGATCCCTTCTTACCCATTACATTTGTTAATCCAATGTATTGAGCAAAAATGCTTATATAAATAAACACTGAACTAACAACTTTCAGACAAGACGCATTAAAATGTTGAATGCAATTAAGCTTACTGCTTAAAGCATCTTTAGATTTGTGCATATGCATACAAAATATTTGATTGCATTATTAGCACGAATGCAACTATATTACATAAGAAAGCCCCCCATTTAGTTCACCCACCAAGATTGGACCTATACACAGATGCCCAAGAAAAACATACATATATATGTATACAGAATAAATTAATAATATATACATATACATACAATCCATAAATATATGTATATATGAATATATAGTACATATATAATCTATATGTAATGTGTGTGATTGTATTTGATGCGCAAAGAAATAAAAAATACAGGAAGCTTTCTTCCTCCCCTTATCCCCGCCAAGCTTCCGTCCCCTTATCTGCCCAATTTTGCATGGTTTAAAATTATGCATGGAAGAGAGAACTCATCCCCCTCCCTTTTTTCCTCCTTTCCCCCACTAAACAGGGGGAGCGTCTTCATTCTTCCCCCTTCCTCCCTTCATTCTCCTTCTAACCGAACACAGTATAAAAGATATGTCTTCATTCTATGTGTTCATTCATATTTTTTGGTAGTGAAAATTATATTCGTTTGATTTATTTTTTAAAAAAGATATTCGTTTGAACGAAAAAGCAGTAATCAGAATATGGAAAAGAACTTGGGAGGATTTGAATAAGTATTGCAACTTTTATTTAATCTTTCACTTGTCTGAAAATTTAATTCACATGGTTGTAACTAGCATGAAATCAACTTGTAACGTGATATTAAATTAGGCCTTGGTATGTTCTTTAATATATGTGAACTAGAGAATATTCGGAGTTGTTTTAAAATCTAGAGAAAATTAATTAATTAGGTTAATTAATTTTATTTTAAGTGTTTTACTCACTCAATTGGATTTTTAACTTGATATTGTTGATGAGCATGGCATGTACTATCATATACATTAAATTGAGAATATTTGAATAGATTTTGAGACTTTTATTTAATTATTATCTTTGTATGGAATTTAATTCACATGGTTGTACCTAGCATGGAATGAACTTGCAATGTGATATTAGGCCTTAATATGTTCATTAACATATATGAAAATGAGAATATTTGAATGAGTGTGGAGAACTTTATTTAATTATTTTCTTGTATGAAGTTTAATTTACATAATTGTAATTTAGGAAGAAATAACTTGTAATGTGATATTAAACTAGTCCTTGCCATGACCATCGACTTATATTAATTTTAGAATATTTAGAGTTACTTTGTAATCTTGAGAATTTAATTATTTAATTTAATTAAATTCCATTATATGCTTCCATTAAAGTAGTTAAGTATTGAAGTTGTTTTTCGTATCAAAAAAAAAAAAAAAAAAAAAAAAAAAGTTGTTTTCATGCTTAACTTGTAAAATTGGAACTTGTTGTATGATTACATTATAGTATTTCATGAGTAGAAGTTATAGTTTAACTTGTTTATATACATATTATATATTTGACATGTGATATGCCACTGTAGCTTGAAAACATAGGACGAATATTGTGTGTTTTACTTGACTTGTTTGTGCATGGTAGTTGACTAATATATTGCGTATATGTATTATACCTTGATGCACAACTTGTTGATTTTAGGAAAGCTTACATGGACATTGAGTATGTTACGGCTAGGATATGGCTCTAGTACGGGGGATGAGAGCTCCCCCTACAACATATAGTGCGCACTGGGTGGTCCCTGTGGGCTAGTAACCCAAAAACACCAATATACGGTTTTATTCCGGGTTTAGTGCGCGCTCCAAAAAGACAAAGCATTGCCATTGTGATTTGATGGTTCGTTTACCCATATTGCATGAAGAGAACCCTGCCTCCACCAAACTCAACAATTTCTATATAAAGCAAAATATACAAGAGTGTATTAACCTCCATGTCTTCTGCACAATTTCCTTTTCGGGATCCTTGACGCTTGACCATGTTTCCTTCCACGTCAGTAAATTCCCAATCATGCTGCCACAAGCTTAAAAAAGTCATAACCATATAATTTAGAGCAAGACAATTCAAAAAATTGTAGAATATAAAGTGGAAAAGAGGAAGTTCGTAAGAATACATACTCATTATGATATTTTTGTAACTCTAAGTAGTATGCCTTCTTATTAGCCTTCAGACATTGTTCCTGATGAAGAACAGCATCAGGATGAAGATTACCAGAACAAAGTGATGCACCCCTGCGAGTATATATACTAAATAAATTGACAGATTCAAAATTTGAAAGTTCACCATAAAGCATTGCATTCAAAAGGAACATTTCTTCAAAAGATCTCAAGATTATACGGAAGTGGGTTATAATAGGACAAGACATGCTAAGATTAAGATATCAGAACGTCGCCCACATATTTGAGAGACTTGGAGGTGGGACAAGAATAAAAGAGTTAAATCAATAAAGTTAAATTAAAACGCTTGGTGGAATACATTAAAAATAAGGGAACAATATATCAATCAATTCAGAGTCCAGAATGCTGAGATCAGTTTTTCCATTTCGTAAAAAGACAAGTACGCACATCTGTGGAAACTGTCAGAAGTACAAGGAGGATGCTAAATGATTAACAAGCAGATCCACAATCATCAAGTGACTGATCCATAAACTCGATTTAAACGTGTAGCTAGGATTTGACAAGTTGCTAAAAAGGTTACATAGTGAAATAGTTACCTTATTATAAATAAAATGACAAAACTATGTAATATATGTTCAAATTTAAAATGTGTAGCATAAAAAGACTTGCCATTTGAGAAAAGGATTTCCAAAATGAAAGTTATTCCCCGCAAGCAATTCTTTGACAACTTGATGCGCTTCATCTCCCTTAGGAAGAAACTGGGAGAGAAAGTTCCTCTCATTTCCAGATAAATGAGTCTGCCAAACCTATAACAAGTTCCAGATAAAATGCATAATATTCTGAGCAGAAAAATCATTTTTTGAAGTCAAGGTAATTGTGCATCAACATTAAATTATCATTACCTCATAAGAAAGGACCTCTTTTAAATTTTCCAAGTCAAAAATTTCATAAGGAACAGTCGAAACATCTGCCAAGTTATTGTGCCAATGAGGAACATAATCAATGGATGGAATCAAGTCCCTCCGTGTTAAACCAATCTGTTCCCTCTTGGCAACAACATTCTTCTTCTTGTCATCCCACTCAAGAGAAATATTAGGTATCATGTTCAAACCATACTGTACTAATCCAGGTTTCTTTCTTTTTGCTCTGCAATGCTCCTGGGAACTACCAATGATGGCAGCATTTAACCGTTTCTTCCGCTGATCAGTCGCCATTGGCACAAAATATCATAAATATCTTGGACAGAACATTAGACAAATGTATAACAAGATGGCGTCCTCGTCAAAATCAACTAATAACCTCCCTTCGCAAACTGAAAATATTGTCATTGGCTAATTGATTGTAGTTCACCAAGTACAGCTCTTCTCATTTTGCACATTATGTTCTGATTAAATAAAAAAAAAAAGAATAAAAAAAAAAAAAGAAGTTCTGATAAGAAAAGAACTCCCATTATGCATACACCGCAATCAGCTTTCCAAAATATGTATCAAAAGTAAATACAGAGAAAGAGAGGTATACAAGATAACATTGTAAGTTCCGTATTGTATATGATAATACATTCAGCCAGCTCATTGCTAATCCGAAAAACCTTTTTAGTATTTTTTTTTCTATGCTTTCTTGCATGAATTAAAGTGAACTTAGGAGTGTACAATACAGCATTTGCAATACTAACCAGCATGCATTCATAAAATATGCAACTGGAACATAAGCCAACCTAGTGTTTTGTAAATTACAAGAAGCGAGCAACTGAAAGAAACATATTAAATGAAGGCTCTTATGCATTTATAGAGGGAAAGAGGAATAATTTGAGATAAGATTCAAATATTACTAAAGAATAAAAAAATTTCTTGCTAAGCAAAATAATCCATGCGCCATCAGCAAGTAACTATAAAGCTTACAAAAATCTTACAGCACATTTTAACTAATTAAAGTTCTAGCTGATTACCAGGATATGTCTATTTGTAAACTGGTTTCATACCGAGGATAATGCTACGGAAAGGGGAAGACCAAACTAACATGGGTTGAGCTACGAAGAAAATATGTGATAGCACATGTTTCAACCGAGACTTTGGCCCTATATAGAGCAGAATGGTGAAATAGGATTCTATAGCCGATCCCAAGTAGTTGTAAAAAAAGCTTTCTTGAGTCTTATCTGCACATAGGCACCCACTGCATGATTAAAGAAAATTTCCAATATTCCATGTATTGCACCTGGTCATAGGCAATGAATAAGCAGACAATCCAACATTTTTCTTTTCCACGAACGCCTATTCCTAATTATATAAACAACAAAGGGGAAAGAAAGACAGAGCAGCACCAATTTGGAATGGTCCAAGTGACCACTAGTAGAGACTTTATCCAAAGATCAGCATCCAGATAAAGAATGCAAATCCAGAAGGGGTTATAAAGCCCTAAATTTACTCTTTTGAACATCTCTACCACTAAAAATACTTCATCGAAACACCTTCTATCTACTCTCTCATTGAGCAGCACATCTTCCTGGGCTTCACTAGAAATTCCAGAGCATACAACCTGGCAAACAAATTCACCATTCCTCCAAACCCCATTCAATAATACTCCATTAGGCTCAAGAAAAGAGAATAGAAGGGAGGACAATTTTGTACAAGCTACCCTTACCCATTGTTTTGTCAGCTGACTCAGCTTAATGTGGAGAGAAGATAAGACATGAAATGATCCATACTAAAAGATAAGATATGAAGCAGTCAATAGAGAATTAGAGATAAAATCTCTTTGGTTCCAAAAAATTTATCACCTTAAAAAATGAATTGATTTAGAGTACAACTACATAGGAAAGTACATTTTCTTCCCTTCTTTTCTCTACACACCTTCTCTATAACCAAACTGATGACGTTTTCCTAGCTCTCTCTTCACTACTCCTGTTCTTTGTCCCCCATTAGTTTGCCCTTAAGGACTTCTGTGCAGATCTAACATAACCTCTCTCAATATAATTTCCTTGAACACACGGGAGAGAACTAATTGACATAATCAAACTCTCAATGATATTTTCTCTGAGCAAATGGTTAGTAAGTGAACCACACCAATTTTTTCCCTTTATTATATAAAATAATAATAGAAAGATAGGAGGAAGTGAACAAAAAAATAGAAAAGAGAGGGGAGGAGGGTGTGCCATGCCTTATTGCCTTCCAAGCCTCTCATTCGCAAAAGAAGTGGAAGAAAAATAAAGAAGTGAGAGAGGGAATAACAGCGGACTTTCAAGGCACTAAAAAAAAAAAAAAAAAAGAAGAGGAGGGATAAAGATAAGAAAGAGATAAAGCGACGGGGAAGAGACAGAGAGAGGAAAGGGGGACTTGAAGCTCTTCCGAATATCGCTTTCCTGAACTTATAAGGGCTAATCTCATTCAGCAACAAAGTATACTAATAGGCTTAAGAATAGGACGAATCAGAACACTTCAACTTAAAATTACAGTGCATAACATTCACCATCCAAGGACAAAGGTAAAATTAGGCTGGATTTTAGGAGCCCACCAACTGCATTCAGGCTCTAGAAACCCTTCTAAGGAAACAACGTGCATTTGGTGAACCCAACAAATGGGCTTCTAGATGACAGCCTCCTACCAGAATCCTGTCTTTTTTAAGCAGGTTGGGTGGGTTTGAAATGAGTTCTCATAAAGTTACATACCAATTAAAGTGACAATTTCAAATTCCAAGTTTAGTCCTTACTATTTATCATCATCCTTGCCTTGTTCCCATATGAATGGGGTCGACCACATGAATTCTCTACACCACTCTTTTCTATTACCCGCCATATCGCCTACTATATTTAACTTTTTAAAGGCATTTCTATTAAACTTCATCCCACATTATTTTCGGTCGCCCTCTTGATCTCTTACCTTCTAGGGAAATTGAGCTTCCTCTTCTCACCGGCGCATCTATTGGTCTCCATTGTATGTGTCCAAACAATCTAAATCTACTCTCTCTTATTTTCTCGTTGATGGGTGCGACACCTAATTTTTCTCTTATACTTTCATTTGTGACCCTATTACTTCTAGTCACTCCAACCATCCATCTTAGCATTCCCATTTCTGCTACATGAAGGCGTTGTTCTTGTCTCTTTCTTAAAGCACAACACTCCGTTCCATAGAGAACAATATCCATCTTGCCCCAATTTTTAAAATAACTCCAAACTTAATCTATATATTGATACAACAAATTTTCGATCCGCAAAGTACTTCTCTCATAATTCTTTTTTCTTCTACACCAAATTGCTCGAACTCGAACTCGATCTAGCTCTCTCTCTTTTTCCATGCATAAATAAATGGGGAACAGATGCAAAAGCCTGAGCCTGCATAAATCGCTTTGTTGATAAAAATAAATCTGATGCTTCCATTAATGCTGGAATTTTTCTACTGCCTTTCCAACACATTCTATTATCTTTCTTCCAACAAGCCCCACAAAACAAAAATAGTTCTCTCTCTGTGTCTATATATATACACACAAACACACATATATATATATGTATACGGCGACATTCAATTGCTCCCCGTCATGCAAAGAGCAGTTCTATCCATGGGAATAAATTGCACGGCTATTACGCAAACCATCCTTTCTCTGCTTTTGGTTTTGGAAAGAATGAAAAACTACTATGCATTAAATGCGCATGAGAGAGAGGAAAAAAAAAGTTTGGTTATGTTATTTAAAAAGTAAACATCAAAATTATCAAAAAGAAAAAGGTAAAACATGAAAATCAAAACATTATCTATTGCAAAAGAGACAGTGAGACAAAGACTGCTAACAAATGGCTTCATTAGGTCTAGGCGGTCATGGAATATTGTGTGATCAGGCAAGAAGAACGACACTAAGCCTGGTGTTATCAAATTCTGGAATAGTAGTTATTATGGTTTGATACGGCATCGTGGCTAGTGTTTTCTTGTTAGCTTCTGTGTTTGGAGTCATCAATTGCAATGATTGCTTACTTTAATTCATGCTTTTACATCAATTTTTTATGGCTAATTGGCTGTTGTTGGATTTCATGAATTTAGTGTAAGATTTGTTTGCATCCTGAACACAAGATCTATTCTTGGTTCAGATTGACTTTGCTGATGCTCAAGGGGGTGGTGTTTTGGAAATCATTAGTTAAGGTGATCACGAGTCTTGCAATTTCAAGTTCTCTGTAAACGGAGGGTTTCGGTGGAGGAAGATGAAAAGTGGCTCTTCATAATCTTTGATATTTTTTCTCCTTTCTATCTTTCTTTATTTATGTAGAAGAAATCAGCCTTGTCTCTCATCTGAATGGTAGTTTTTGCACTTTCAAAAACCGGAATCCAATATAAATTGATGGATTACGTAGCAACCGTTGGATTATATCCTATGGTCAAAAACAATTTCGCGGATAATGCTCCCTGCACACCAGGGAGCAGATGCACGCTACTCTATATGTATATGAGTATATGCATATTAGTAGGGTTCAAAAGTTTCTTTTTTCTTTTCTTTAAAAAAAAAAAAAATTAAAAAATCTACAGTTCCATTATTTGTTTATATTGATTCTTCAAAATTGCTGGGGTTTTTAATTGTATTGTGCCTTCAATAATCAATTTAATATAGATTTTGATTAGTAACATATGTTGATGTTTAATATAACTTTAATTCAAAGGTACTTGTATAATATGTTTCGACAATCAATTTTTTTTTTATAAGTTCCTCATAAAAGCCATCTCCATAAGGACCTTCAGTTCTAGGAAGTAGCACTGAATAAGGCCCAAGGATACCACTTTTGCTTCTTTTGTAGCATAATATGATTTATTATTTATGTAGTGTCAGTTTCTATTATTAATGTTATTAAGTTCCTAGTCTGTATTTAGAGTCATGTGCTCATCATATCTCTTTCAAAGGGTTAATGGTCAAGTATTGCTCATGAGAGTCATTGAGTATTCTTTTCTTTCATGAGGTCAACAATAAGCTCTTTGCCGCTTATATTAACTGTAGGAACAAGCTCTTGTGATATTATTACGTATTATCATTTAATTGACATTTTGCAGTCTTATTGAAACCCTAGAACTCTTTATATTCTCGTTCTTCCTGTGAACCATTGCATTCTTACTATCTGTGTCTTTTCCTACAGATTTTTCCTATTTTCTGCACCATGTGCTCTTTACAAAAGGAAAAACAACTATTCTAGAGATGAAGCACACTTCCTTATTTTAAATCATCAAATCCCTTCAAAATAACCATCCAAAGTTCTCCAAACCACCACTGTATGACTCTATCCCACTTCTTTTCTTTCTTTTTCTTTTTTTTTTCCTTTTCTAATGGATGACATCTTACCTGCCCTCCCAAATAGCAAGCCAATTTTAATTCCTCAAAGTTTCACCCTAGCAAATATGGGAGTTCCATAATATGTTGAGTCTCATCAAGTACAAAAACAAAATTTCCATATTGAATCAGCTGCAATCTTTTTGACAGTGGGATATAGAATTACATGCTTCTCAGTGCCAAAGGAAGGGCTCACTTGTGTGCATGCACATGGCTACTTTAATCCTATTGCAAGGTGTTTAATCCAAACTAATTAAAGATATAATTTGGTGTAGCTAGAAAAAAAGATTCAGCAAAGTTGAGAAAAAACTTATTCATTTTCTAGCCATTAGTTACATCATTATTTATATACTTAGGGCACTGGCCAAATAAACAACTTCAGAGGGTTGTATCTATCAGATCGGTGGCTAGTGATCTACATACACAATATCATCCGATAGTGCAAAGAAGCACTACTCAAGACACCTTATAAAAAGGAATGCTACCCAGACACTTAATATTTCTGTGGCTCAGAAAGAATAAAATTTGGTCAGACACATACTACCCATAAAACCTGAAAAAAAGTAAGGAAATATTATATGTGCATATTACATAGCAATTGAAGTTTGCAGTTAATGTAACTTGCAATTCTCTTCCTCATCCCTAAAAAAGCAAATAGAGTTTGACAACGAAAAAGAAAAAAGAAAAGGAACAAACTTGCATGCAAGAAAAACAGAAGAAGATACTTTTCTTTAACTTCAACTCATTAACCAATAATCAACAAAAAGATAGGCCTGGATCACAAGGGAGAAAACATTAGTTCCAATCAATTCATGAGTGCAAGAAAACGAAACCACAGATGCATCGATATAGAAAATAAATTACGAGAAATAAAATAGAAATAGGCAATAAAGATACTGCCTTTGATTCTATAAAACAAAGCCCTAAAAATCAAAGCAGAGGCAGAAGAAAAGGCATTACCTGGAACGTAGTGAATGGTGGAGTATAGAAAGGACTCTTAAGCGTCGAAGCGTACCTAACCTAAGACGAGGATTCGCATAAAATCAACAGTTTGATCCTTAAGAAAAATAAACAGACAAATAAAATATTAAGAAACAAAGAATTTGGAGAGAACAGAAAACTGGATGGATTTAGCGAAAGGAGAAAAGGAATGGGTTGGGGGGTGTTATCCGATTCGCTTGGGGAAGGAGAAGAGAAGAGGGGCGCACAAACATAGTAACATAACAACACGTAGAGATAGAGATAGACATAGAGATAGAGATATAGATTGAGATTGAGAAAGGATGGATCAGACGGATGTGGTTTATCGGGACCGTTATGGTTAACTCCTTTACTCCCACTGGATAAATTAATCTCATGTTTGCGCGCGCTTGGGGCTCGGCTTGGCTCCAGCCCAATTCAACATTGGTTCGTGTACACGAATTTTGATTAGACTGAATTATCAAGTGGTGTAGTGTGGCGAGAAGGCTATCCAATTCAAAAGTTTAAGTGTGATTCGATCCAAAAGTTTAAAAGTAAACTCATTTATATTCTTTTTTTTTTACTTTTTAATGGGATCCAACGCAAGACAAGACTCTTTTGATAACGTTCTCCCTAATGATGACAAAAATTTACACCAATTTTGGATAGTTTTGGAGAGCCTATTATGAAAATGGGAACGAGGGCTACTTAAAAACACCTTGTTGAATTTTGGGGGGGGGGGAGGGGGTGGTTACTCTGTCCCGAACAAACTATAAATTTTTTAAATTACCCTTACATATTATGACATTTTATTAAAATATGATAATTATATATATACACAAATATGAGAAAACTTTAACCCTCATTTTCGTTTAATGTTTTAGTCTTGTGAAATAAAGAGAGCCGCGAGTGGGGATGGCAAAAATCCCCAGCCCTGTGGGGCCGCTTTCCGCTTGGAACAATTTTGGGGAACCAATTATGTAAATGGACTTCAGAATGGGGGGATGCGTTGAAAAACTTGACAGGTTTTGGGCTGGTTATGAGGGTGAAAAAAATTAAATGGGGATAGGAATAAAAATGGGGAATGAGATCCTCGCCCCAAACCGCGCCCATTACCATCCCTAATTATTTTCCATTCAAATTTACAACACCCTTGTTGTGGTCGGGCCACCATGCCTACCCGAGGGTTCTCGCTCAGACACTCAGGGTTGGACGCTTAGAGTGACATCAAATCAAAAAATATGTATTAACTATAACAGATCGAGTGTTTTACAATCCGACCAAAAAACTTAAGTTATTAGTTGGAGCTAACACCTAATCCATTTCACTTCCCATCCGAATCTAATGTGAGACAAAACTCCCCTTATAATATGTAATGTGTATGTTAGCAAGACTATCTAATAATTTTTAAATTTTTTTATTAATATATTTTTAGAGTAATGATACTTACACCGATTACTTAGATAGAATTGTTAAACCTAGCATATTTGATTGATCATTAATGCAATATATAAGGAAGTAAAGCGTCCCATTTTTTATATTTGGTATGCATTGACCAATCAAATAAGTAGGCCTAACAATTCTGCCTAAGTGATTCGTGCAAGTATCATTATTCATATTTTTATATTCTTCATCTCGGTTGTCTCTAGTACTCCAAGGGAACTTTTATAGTTACTAAAATGTAGCTCCGTATAACTTTTGAATAAAGTTAAAAATTTTAACTTAAGACTTGTTTATTTGAATGTAAAATATTTATAAAAATATGTATATATTTTTACTATTTGGTTGTTGAAAAATATTTACGAAGAAAAAAAAATAACTTGCTCATCAATTTTCGTTAAGTTATTTTACATTTCCCGTTCGATAGACTCAACCTTAACTTTCTACCTTTGTCAAATACTGAAAAATAAAAATAAAAAAATATATTTTATCTAACGTCGAAAGAAACAAAGCCTTAGAGTATCTGCAATGCTAAAATCTATTTTCGCATGCCAAATCTATATTTTGACATGTGCTACAGTGCCAACATGATACATTTTAGCAATTCTACTCCAATGGTACATTTCACGCAAAACGTTATTTTTTAACACAACAACTATTCTTTTTCAACTACCATTCCCACCATTCATATTTGCATCAGTAATATTAATATTAGGCACATTCCAAGTCAAGTTGTAAACATTAGAAGGAAACTAAAATTAAACCTAATTAAAAAAAAAAAAGTACAAATTTAAAATATTTGGTCAAAAAAGAACAAAATAAATAAATAAATAAATAATTATAATTTTTTTACCACGATTTGTGAATTATTTTTTTTTATATAATTTTTTTTCGAAAATTTATATATATTATATATAATATATATGTATATTATATATATAATATAATATAATATACATATAGAGATGCGAGTGGGTGATGACCAGTGAGAAACGGCACCGTTTTGATTTTAGAAAATGAGACTTGCCAAAAAAATTTAGCAGATGCCATATATGAGAAGAAATTTGAGAATCTCAAATTTTGAGAGTTTAAATAAGAGCCAATTGGAGAGGCCTTTTTTTACCCAACTATCATATTTTGAGTTTGAAAGGCCCAAATGAAAAAGCATTGGAGTTGCTCTTACAAGCGCTCTTTTGAGTGGAGGTTGTATAATAAAATAATTAATTTTTTTGCACAATTTTATTCTTCTTTATTATTTTATAAAGATAATTTTACTCCTCCTTTTATAATGTTGTGGTATGGTAACATTTTATTAAAGGATTTATTGTAAAATTAGTCATAAAAATGCTTTAAAAAATATTTTACTGAATAAATAAAAAAATATATTAATTGTAAAACGTATCACAAATTTTATTAAGAGCAAATTTATTGACGAAATTTGCTTTTTTTAATGGTAACAACAACATCAAACCCGCTTTCCACTTTATAAACTGTCCAAATATATATTTCTTATGTCATTTTTTCAAAAGTTTATCAAATTTGGTAAATAAATCATATTACTTGCAGATTTGTTTATTATACATGTTGATATTTACTAATTTTAGTAGCAAACGTGGTATATTAACTTTTCTAAATAAACATCATCTCTCAGTGAACTCCCTTTTTATCTTTTTATTAGGGGTGTATTTTTCATTTTGTAATTTTCATTAATTCGCAGATTTCACCTAATAATTCTCCTCCATCAATTTATTTTCCCAATAGTTGTGTAATTATTGGTATTTTAAATCATTAGATTGTTCCAACTTTATCTCATATTTTTCAATTGTAACATGGGATAATTTGAGGGATGGTGGTGAGATAAGAGGTAAATGTAAAATAAATAGGCAGACAACACAACACAAAAGTAAAGTACAGTCTGCTCATCTATCTATCATCTATTATCCTCTCTGGAGGTTGTGGGAAATGGCAGCTAAAGTAATATCATCCCATACGCTCTCTTATCCTTCCAAATTCAGAAGCAGAAGAGAATTCAGCGAAGACCAACCGTGGCTTGGACCGGCTCAAACCCCAATAAGACCCACCAGGAGGAGGAGGAGGAGGAGGAGGCTCGTAGTTGGAGTCTCCTCCTCTCTCCTCCTCCAAGATGTTGCTGTTACATTAACATCATCTTCTTCTTCTTCGGCACTACTTGGAGGAGGAGAGAATCACAACAACCTCGTCTTTCTACTCGCAGACAGTGTGGGCTATTCGTCCGCCAGCTACTACACTTCTTTGGGTCTCTTTGTCATCTCTGTTCCAGGCCTATGGTCCCTCATCAAGCGCTCTGTTAAATCTAAGGTGCCTAACTAAATTTCCTTCTTTTTCTCAATAATTTTGATTTATAACTTGACTAATTTGTAGGTGAGGGTTTCAATTTTTCTTTTTCTTTTTAAAATTAAATAATAATAATAATAATAATTAATGGACATCTTGGTTGATCGAGTAAATTAGTGATTCATGAAGTTGCTATATTATTTGGGCTGAGAAATTTATAGATAATTTGTTATATATTGTTATTTTGTGGTCTTCACATTTTAGGGATGACTTAAAAATTTCATTGTGGTTTGTTTACTCAGATTGTGCAGAAGACATTTATAAGAGAAGGGGAAGGGAAGAAAGTGCCTAACCAGTTGGCTGGAGAAATTCTCTCTTTCTTCACCCGCAACAATTTTGTGGTGTTAGACAGAGGAGAAACCATCACGTAAGTAATGGGTAAATTAACCCCACCACCTACCATTTCCCCCTCCCTCTGCTTATCTTTATCTTCTACGAATTACATTTTGTTACTAACTCTTGTTTGTTTGTTTGTTTGTTTTTTTTTGTTTGGACAAAGCACATCCTTTGCTCAATTTGTTATATTGCTAGGATATTGTGCTAACTGCTAACTCACCCAGCAACAGTGAATCTGTAATTGCACTGGAGTCACCCAAATAGTTTGATAATTCTCATATGGCAAATTAAAGAAGTTTTGAACACCACCACCTTCAATGTTCAGACCATCAATGCTTAAGCCACAGGCCCTCAATTCAACCCTCATGAGAAACGCACATTTTTAGTATGCTATTATTATTATTATTATTATTATTATTATTGTTTAGGTGGGTACTGTATTTTGTTACCTACAGATTCTGATTCCCTGCCATGCTAAGCACGGACCAAGGTTCAATCGTAGCTCGTTACCCATGCTATTTTAGCTTAGTGTGTGTATCTGATACACATGTTTCTCTTTGCTTGAAGGTTTGAGGGCATGATGGTTCCAAGCCAAAGCCAAGCAGCATTTCTCACATTCTGCACCTGCGTAAGCCTAGCGAGCGTTGCCCTTGTACTTACTATAACTGTTCCAGATGTGGGCAATAATTGGTTCTGGCTTACCATCTTAAGTCCGTTGGCGTAAGTGCTGCACTGCACTAATCTTGTACTTTCTATTTATCCAACTCAGTAACTAGAATCCCGTTTACTTGTCAACCATCCAACTCAGTAACTAGAGATAACGTACTAATGTTTTGGGAATGAAACAGAGGACTCTATTACTGGAAACGAGCATCAAGAAAGGAGCAGATCAAGGTCAAAATGATAGTTGCAGGTGATGGAACGCTGACAGAGATCATCGTTCAAGGAGATGACCAGCAAGTAGAGGAAATGAGAAAGGAGCTCCAGCTGAGTGAGAAAGGCATGGTGTATGTTAAAGGAATCTTTGAGCGGTGATGATGATTGTCTGTCAATTACGTCCATCATCCCTGTGAGCATACAACAGGACTAGACTTTGTTCAATGCACATCTTTTGTGGATAATTAAAAGTCAGATACACTATTTCTCAAAATAATTTACTGTGTATTCTTTTTACTTCTATCCTGGAAAATCATAAGAACACCATCTATTTTTGAGTTGGTTCAACATTCTTTTTGGAATTTTAGAATAGCTCAGCAACCAGTCGAACATGATCTTAATATCTTATTACACAACATGGAACCAAACAAGGCAACTTCATCGTTCAATGGGTTGCACCTCATCAATAGAGACATAATTTGGGATAAAAGAAATAATAATAATAATTGAAAAATCAGCATTGAACACCATAACCTGGATTATTAAATTATCAAAAAAGCAGCCTCTATGAAAGATCAACATTTTTATATAATTTGTGGACAACTTATTGAGTTTCAGATCAAAACCATCCTCAATAGCAATGGGAATATGCATAGTTACATGTCCATCACTAAGCATTTCCATAGGGGAAGAAGAAAAATAAATATATATGCAACAAGTGCTAGTCAATTTATGAATGAAATACATAATGATGAGATCCTAACGTCTCATTATCCACCGGAAAGAAACCTCATCTTCGATGCTTATCCAATTAGTAACTTGTTCTCATCCAAGAAAGTGTAAGTTGGTACCTCCAGATTGTACGGCGCTGGACCCTTGCGTATCCTGCCAGAGATGTCATAATGAGAACCATGACAGGGGCAAAACCACCCACCAAAATCACCAGCATTTGGTAAGGGGATGCAACCCAGATGGGTGCAAACCCCAACAACAACAAGCCATTCTGGATTCTTAACCCTCGCTGAGTCTTCCTGCGGATCACGGAGAGATCCCACATCAACACTGGTTGCCAGCTTGATATCCTCCTCTGTTCGGCGCCTGATGAAGACTGGCTTTCCACGCCACTTAACAGTCACAGTGGTGCCAGGTTCAATGCTGGAGAGATCAACCTCAAGAGAGGCCAGAGCCAGAACATCCTTGCTAGCTGACATGCTGAGAACAAACTTTAGGATAAGGAGGCGAATCAGGGAAGCGTACACAAACCTTCCACCTGTCAAAACAAAATAGGCAAATGCCCGCTTGCTGCGGTCACCTGGTGGGTAACGCTCATGGTTGTGCTCATCGTAGACTATCTTGGAGGTGGGGTTCTTAACAGCTGCTACAGTTGCTGGAGTGTCTGGAATAATGTTATTTTCATTCTTTGGGGTGAGCGACTCCGAAGCAAAGCCTGCAACATAAATCAATCACCAATAACAGTCTATGTCTTTACTGCATGTCAACAGGAAGCAAACAAATCTTTTGTCTTGCCATTCTAGCACGGGAAGGTATGACTGAATAAAGGAAAGAGGACATGAGGAGGAAATATCAGATTAAAAACTTGCTATAGAGGTTACATTTAAACAAAATGCATAATCAAAGACTGAGTTCACAAATTCTATATTTTAGTATGTGTTTGAACCACTTACAGAAGGTACATTTCTTAAAGGATGGGAGCAGAACCAAAATTATCGAAGAATACATTCAAAAGAACATTACAGCTCAGTTTTCAACAAATTTCCTAGACATCACTATAAAAGTAACTTTAAAACAAGGCACCAGTTGTGCTTTAAAGAAGTTAATCTTCCAAGTTAGGTTGCAATAACTAACCCACAAAGAGTGGTGTTTCCATCTTCTTCATTAATCTTCAAAAATTTCCTTCATGCTTTCTTTGGGTGCCAAGAATTCCCTCATCAAATGAAACACTAGGAGTAATTGGGTCAAAGGGGTCTGAGTAGATATTGGATGCACCAGGCGCACCATGTTATTAGTGTACCACTGTACCTACCCAATGACAATGTGTTATTTCAAAAAAAGTTGGCCCACTTACTTACAAAATTGCTGATAACGAGATAATAAGTTAAGTTTCATTGGGTGGGTACACTTAATACATGGCACGCGTGGCGCACTCAATATCTACTCAAGGGGTCTCATATGAGTTGAGAGAACATCACACCTTTATTCCTTCCTTAAAGCTACTCTATAAACATCACGCCTTTATTCCTTAACTCATACCAACTGATATAGCCTAACTAGCCCGCTTTTCTCCTCCCTCAATATTACATAACTAGTCAAATTGGCAATACACATAATTACTCAACCCAACTAAATATAACACAGTCTCAACTATTTGGAGTCCACTGCATGAATCATATTTCACCATTCTGTTTTATTGAGGTCATAACTTTAACTTATCAAAAAAATTGAGGTCATAACTTTAATTAAAGGTTAAATTTCTAGCACCATCGGTTTAAACCTTCATGAAAACCACTTTAACACCGTCAGAGAAAGAAACTTATTGTTCGTAGATGGTTGGTAGTGAAATGACAAATTTACCCCCATTACTTTATATCCATAAAAATCTAAATTGCTGATAATTGGGTGGAATTACTAATTTACCCCCAAATTTAACCTTCTCTCCCCCCTTCCTTGTCCTCTGTTCTCTGCCCTCTTTCTCTTTGTCTCAAACTGATCACCACCACCAATGTCCAACCAACACCATCCTCTCTCCTAGACCTCCATAATCCACTACACCGGATAGTGTGAAAAATTATTCTCTAATATAGAGATTACTACAATATTATTCTAAACTTTAGATAATGGTTTTCATTTTGATTTTCTAAGAACCTATTCTGACATTAGTTGTCAAAAAAAAAAAAAAGAAAAAAAAGAAAAAAAAAGAACCTGCTTTGATATAATTTAAATACATTTATCAATCTTATTCCATATAATCATAACATGTTAGTTTCGTCTTGTAAATTACATGCACTTCTTTTAAACATCTTATTTTCAAAAAATTCCATTACCTACTATTCTTAAGTTATAATTTTTTAGTATATGCATTTAAAATCGCCAACCCATTTGGAGGAAAACATCATAACTTTTGCACCATCTCATACGCTCCACAAGCTTTTCCTACATTACCATTAAATTATCCTCCTATACATGATTTATCTCATTTGCTATAATTTAGCGCTATATTCAAAACATTATATGTTAACATGTCTATCTAGTCCAGATGGTGTACACGAGTGATGGTTGCATTAAATAAATTTCCACTCATTACTAGTTTCATTATTATCATCCTGTTCTTTTTCCGAATAACAGCTACAACTTCTTTTAAATATGTTATTTACTATTACTGATCAAATAAACGGGTGTGCCATCGTTCTGCCTAGCCAACCCCTATTATATAATGAAATGACATTGATACACTTATTTTATAATTATATATCTAAAACGCCCTTACCTATATTTATATATATCTTAATTCTCATTTCCTTAGGGACTTAGAGTTTCCATTTTACCCAGCCACCACCCCCACTTGATTCCACTCTCAGCCACCTTCCACTCCACTCTCATTCCTTCCCCAATCGGAAATCATCCAGGAGTCTAAGGTCGACGATCGTCTATGGCTAGTAATAATCACTTTTATGGCGAGAAAATTGTCTACAATCATCGATGGTGAAAACTCACTTCTCCAGCGATCATCTAAAATCATCTCTCTTCTACTAGCATCTCCAATTCCCAGCAGCTAGTCATGATAAGCTAGATCTCTCTCTCTCTCTCTCTATATATATATATATATTATATACACACATACATAAATATCTAGGATTTTCTTCTGATTTGTATCTTGATCTATATACATATGCATAGATCTATATATGTATATAGGGTTGAGATGGGGTGGGAACGGGCTATTAAATCCATTGTCGGGATGGGGAGGAGAGTGGGCATATAAACCCATCCCGGGTTTGGGACAGGGACGGGAGAAGACATTTGTAATCGAGTAGGGGCAGGGTTTTACAAATCATCCATAACTCACCCCGTTGCCATTGCTATCCAATAAAGTGCCAGAAGAATGCAAAAGAAAAGGAAACACTATCGTTTGTTATTAAATTTGAGCAAACTCTGCTGCTTTATCAACATAATAATAAATAAAAAAATTGGGTTATAAAACCAATCGACACATAAGCATCATTCCTCCAATTACATGTATCTAAAAAAAAACCAATAGAGTGAATAAGATGAAAAAGTGAAGTCATTATTAGTACCACCAGAGTGCTAGGAGAGGGGACTAGGTTTAGACCTGACTTAAGGTATTCTTTTACACAAAATGGCTTCCCTTTAAAAATTACATAATACGTACTACTTATGGAAGGAAGAGAACCAACAAAGTCTAACTGAAAATAATGAACATATATGGAACCATAAAACAACACCAATAATCAACCATTTTACACGAATAGTATGTGAAATCTCTAAACATTTAATCTTGGCAAGGAACAAAGGATGCCAAGTACAAATTGTTAATTTATCTTGTCTTGGGTTTATGAAAAATATCAATTGCATAAATTAAATAAAATGTCGCAAGATCCTGACTTACTTAGATTATGAATTTATGATGATCATCATCCTTGCCTTAATCCCATATGAATGGGGTTAGCCACATGAATTTTCTATCTCTCCAATCTCTTCTATTACATACCATTTCACCTACTATATTTAATTTTTTAAAATCATTTTCAATAACCTCTTCCCATGTCATTTTTGGTTGCCCTCTCCGTCTTTTACCTTCCATTACAACTAGTCTTCCTCATTTGACAAGCACATCTCTAGGTCTCTGATGTATGTGTCAAAACCATCTAAGTCTACTTCCTCTAATTTTCTCACTATTAAGAAGAAAATATGTCACAGAATCAGCTCATGTTCGTCTTTACAAAAGAAGCCAGGTAGTAGTTGAGGAATTACAAATATGCAATTGTCCATTGTCTTTGGTTTTAAGGGGGCATATGGAGTAAATGCACGCGGTACATAGAATAAGATTAAGGTGGTGTTAAGACTCAACCATCTATGGTCTCGGCTTCTCTCTTTCTTAGTTTACAGACCACATCAATTTAATGTTTTCCTCTTCCTCTTCTTTAACAGTACTCTCTACATGAACCACATCAATCTACCTCATAAGTGCAGTTATCAACCAATGCATTTACCAATCTTCCTTCCGCACAACCATTTTAGCTGATTCTCTCATCTTTTATATCAAATTTGAGCTATTTGTATCATTTCAACATTGTTTTAAAGTTTGCTTTTATCATCTCTATTTTTTTTTGTCTTACCATAATTCTATAACAACACATTTACCTTACGGACATGGCATTTCTTAGTAGCTCAAATATTATAAAATTTTCCTTTCAGATTCTTAATAACGTTGCTCAACCAATAGTCCAGGCTCTAACCTAGTGGTACTTCCTCACCTTCAAGTCCCATAGAGGCAAAGGGGGTGTTTGAGTTTCAAATAGGAAAAAAAAGGCAATACTCCAATAGCATTCCTTTATCTAACACATCCTATTCTTTTCCACACTCATCTTACTTTATTTCTGTGAAGAACATCCTGTCAAATCTCTCCTATTTAAAAATCCAGACTGGATAACAAATTCATTCTTATATATCTCTTGGCTTTTGATATTCATTTTTCTTCAAGTTGTATATATTTTTGCTAAAATCACATTCCATAAATGCAATTTTAATCCTAATATTCACTTTTTCCCAGTTGTATAAATATATTTTTGTTAAAAATCACATTCCACACATTCAATTTTAATCCTACTTATTCTAAATCCTCCTGATTCTATCATTCCCTCTCAACTTTTAATACAACATCTATCTCTCTTTATTTTATTCAACTAAACCAAAATTATCAAACTTATAACATAAACCACGGAAGCTCCTCCTAAATATGTCTAGTCAATTGATCCATAAATAAGGAAAAAGAAAAAGGCCAATGGTGCGTTTGGAGAAAAAAAAGGGAAATGAAAGTGAAGGATAACACTTTTAGAAAAAGAAAGAAAGAAGAAAAAAACAAAAAAAAAAAAAAGAGGAGGAAAATAACCATGTTCATTGTGTTTGGAAAAGTAGCAAAGGGGAAAAACTAGAAAAGGGAATACTGATTCAAATTTGTAACTTATAAGGGCAAAACAAGAATTTACCTGAAGAAAAAATCCGGATAAAACTGGTAATTATTAAATCTCCGATCGACTCCTCCTAAATCCTCCCATTTTGAACTACTTTACCTGGAATCACCACGTTACCCCAAGGTGTTCGTGTCGACATGACACAACACGGACATGCGGACACATGCACAAGACAAGGGTCGGACACTTTCACATCTATTGAACACGACAAATGAAGAGATGCTCGTGGAATATTGTTTCGATGGATTCTGGTGAGGGTTTTGAAAAAAAAATTCTGTCTTTCTTGGTTAGATCGGGTGTCATCTATGATGTGTTTGATAGTTTCTGATTCAAAATTAAGGTTACCAATTTGAAAAAAAGTTTCTTTGAAGGTTTAAGACGATTGTGTCATCCGCACGCTGCTATTGCATGATTTCCTACGTATGGCAAAGTGTAAATTCACTCGTCATTTGGAATTTTCAAGTCCGTTTAAATCCTCCTGCTATGGGTGGCCAATTAAAGGTCATCCTGATGCCACGTTTCCTTAGTTGCAGCATGTTTTAAAATCACATTAGACCATGCGTTCTTATCCTTTTGACTTCTACAAGACCACAATACTTATCTTTTTTACTTCTTCAAGACTAAGACCACTTATAATTATTTTTTAATAAATAAATGTGATACTGGCACTCCAACGTCCTCTCAAGGTGGCTTTTTTTGCTTGGACAGTTATTCCGGGAAAGATTCTAACTCTGGACAACCTCAGAAGGAGGAGACAAATTATTGTTATTGTTAATTGGTGTTGTATGTGCAAGAGAGATGAGGAGACGGTGGATCATCTCCTATTCCACTGCCATGAGGCACGGGACATTTGGGACTTATTGCTGGGTTTGTTTGGGTCCATTGGGTTATGCCTAGGTCCTCCAGGGGTGATTGAGGCTTGGAGACGATGTACAGTGGATGCTCAAGCCAATGACTTTTGGAGGGTAACGCCTTTGTGTGTTTGGTGGTGTTTATGGACTGAAAAGAATAGGAGATCTTTTGATGGCAAGGAGAATCCTAATGGGGTGCTAAAGTTCTCTATTATTTGTTCTTTTTTTTTTTGTCGGGTTTTGGGGAGAAATTGTAAATCAATGGGGAATTTTTGGACTCTTTGAGAGTGTAGAGGCTTTTGGCCTTGTGTAGCTTTATGGGATGCATTCCCCGCTTGAACGTTTCTAATACAATCTAACTTACCAAAAAATAATTAAATAAATAAATGTGATAACTGATAAGTACCAATTCTGGAAGTAACCAATCATTGTAAAAGATTAAAAGATCAGAAAACATGTCGCTTTCTTTTTTTCTTTCCTTTTTTAAAGAGATGGCAGTAAAGATGGCACGCTCATCTTTATTTTAAATTGTTTCTTTAAACATCTTAGTAAGAGAAATGAGCTAATATATGTCCTCTTTATTCTTTTTATATAATAACATAAATGTCTCTTACATCTAAAAATGAGAATCAAAATTCAACATCTTCTCTCTGTGCAACAAATGATAATAATATTTCTTACTTATAAAAAAAATGATAATAATAAATCAATAATAAATAATTTTAAGGAAATTAATGTTTAATTTCAACAAGAATATTGTTTACTTAGTTTAGCTAGTTGGAAACTCTAAATCTCTAATATTTGTCCAAGCACTTGTATCCAATTTTTGGAACTTTATAGCTGAGTCCCTGTATCTATAAATTGAGAAATGAATTAATCCAACCTCTAGACATGTATTACCAGTACCCAGCTCCATAACCGAGTCTGGGTAACATAGCTTTTGAAAGGATAACCAAAGCACTTATCAAGGAGTAAGGCTCTCCCTCCTCCCTCCTATTCCTGTCCTTTCCTCCAAATTTTTAAAACAAACACAAGATAAGTCCTCCCTCCTCCTTTCCTCTAATTATCTTCAAGTCCTCGATCCAAATGTATCTGATCCTCTGTATGCTGACAATTACTAAGAATTCCCTTGTTTCTCTAGTGGTTGGCATGACAACCTTTGCATTAGGAGGTTGTGTTTGTGTCTACGTTCTTTTTCAATATCAATGTAATGTGACGGTTAGTTCTTCTTCTTAGGTTGATTATCTCAATTTGGATTTGAGAGAGTAGAGTAATGTTTCAACATTATCGGCTGCTGGTCAGTTCATATAGTTTTACTTTTTCCCCTTCAATATCATTCTCATACTTCCTATGGATTCTTGAGAGGATATTTCATGTTCAGAACTTAAGGCAAATACACAAAGGCTGCATTTTGCATGCTAACTATAAGCCATTGTTCAAGACTGATATGTAAAATCCACATGAACTTCAAGCTTGTAGAGAATTTCAGACACCCATCTGGATGACTAATTTAACTAGTCAAGAGATCTTAGATTTGATAAGTTGCCTAGGAGCCAATCATTTGCTTAAAAAACAAATCTCTGATCTTCTAAAATGTCAATGTTGTTTTCAATGTATTATGAATTATGGAAGTATAAGTTATGTTAAGGATTTATGAAGTATGATCTTAAAGACAGAAGCCATGTAACATGGACACACCTACACAACAAAACCTTGAAGAAGTACAACAAACATGGGGAGGACAAGGCTTTATACAAATTCATATCTATATATGCCTTTACATGGGAAAAACTTAATTTTGAATAATGTAGAGAGATTTCCATAAACTAATTTATTTGAATAAATTGAACGCCTTTTTTTAATTCATTATTACTTATCAAAAAAAAATATATATATTTGAATAAATTAAAATATCATTTTGCATAATACACTATTGATGGGAAGACCAAGACTAACATGAGTTGAGATACTTAAGAAAGAAAAGATAAAATGTGCTTTTAATTGAGACTATTGACCAAAACTAACATGAGTTGACATACTTGAGAAAGAAAAGATAAAATGTGCTTTTAATTGAGACTAGTACTTTAGATAGAGCCGAATGGTGAAACACAATCAACGTAACCCACTGCAAATAGTTTAAAGAACAAAAGGCTTTGTTGATTAGGTATACTACTAATTATATCACACAACCCCATAACCTCTCTCTAAATATAAATATTTTAACAACTATATTCTTTTTAAAAACTATAATTTTGCTTGCATGAGGAACGCTTTGGCCATGCATAAGATATCAAAATTATGTTGAAATACACAATTTAACATTTTTGTTGTGTCAAACACAATTATAGAGTGTTGTAGTAGAAAAAAATGTTGGGCACAAACACAACTCCTCTATAGAAGTCTCTATGTTTCATATGGCATAAGGCAACCAACTTTTATCCTCCAACAAGGCAGAACTACGATCTTCCTTTGGGAAGAAAATACACCCAAAGTCTCTTCCCAAAGTATCTTTCAGTCAAACCACATGTTATAATACATTCCCTCGGTAATTATTCCAATGTTAATTTTGATTTCCCCTTCTCCTAACATTACAATCAATGTGGTCAACGTCATATTATAACTGGTGCACTTAACGGTGTTGCTTTGTACATGTCCAAACCATCTTAATCGATATTTTTGTTTTATCTCCAATGGGTAGCACTTCAATCATCTAATTAATGTTTCCAGTTCTAATTGTATCCTTTTTTGTGTTGCTACACATCCATCTCAATATTCATATTTCCACTATACTCACTTTATGCATATTTGTTTCTTTGTCGTCCAACATTTTATTCTATAAAATGTGGCTAGTCTAATAATTGTTTTATGAAACTTTCCTTTCAATATTATATGGATACACCAATCACTGATGAGAAAATACCTATACACCAATCACTGTTCATGAACATAAAAATAACAAAACTTTTTGTATTTTAAAAAATAATTAAGCTTTTGCCTCTCTAGAGTTTCACCGTCCATTGCGAATCGCACTAGCCCTTTGTAGAGACAGCACTTTGGTAAGCATTGCTTGGTGAGATGCAGTCATCAGTCATGGTAAAAAGGTCGACTTCATTGACTTGTCCAAAAATAATTTATTGGACTGACCCTACCCTAATTTAGAAACAAAAATCACTCTTGCTAATCACCAAATTACCACAAGTGAGAAGAAAAAATGGTTCAGTAAAAACGCATCATTTGGATCTAGTGGCAACGCCAGAAACTTACCGGGCATTGCCTGTATTATAATTTAAGTTCAATTTAGAATCATTTAATCTGAGTAAAAAGATTGCGTTTGCACAAAAGATTCATCATTTCCATACTCTCTCCAACGCATTATTAATCAAAATAAAGAATTGGATAGTTGTAATAATAAAAGAGTAAATGAGAAAAGCTAACCTCTGCATGGAAGATGATGAAATTGGGGAGCTAATGGAAATAAGTTGGTGGATCCGAGGTCATCCAACGAGGAATCAACGCCGTTGATGGGATAGTCGGAGATGATAGCCGACGAGGTTAAGGATGGTAGCTGATGCGGCCTCGATGACCATGACGATGAGAAAGAGGAGAGCCTCCTACCTGCGACTCTCAACATCTTCTTCTTCTTCGCTCTCTCTTTCAACAATGGCTCTCTCTCTCAGTCTCTCTCCCCTTTCAAAAATGGCTCTCTCTCTCTGTCTTGTCTATATTTTGATTTGCATTGGTTTTTGCAGGGAGTTGGGAGGTGCGTGGCGTGGTCTAATTTGAGAAATACCGAGGGCCCGGTAGAAAGGAACGAATACCATATCCATTCGAATCGGAATTCGGATATCTGCTTCGCTTACCCATTGTTCCGTCTCTACGGTTTCCATCAATTTACTGTAAGCAAGTATCCCACTTTCAAAATTTTGTTCCATTTAAGTTCTAATTTATAATTTTACCAAATTAGCTATAACATTTAAATCAAAATAAATTATAACAATTATTAAATTTATTTGTCAAGATTTTTTGAATTGAATTTAAAGTTTAAACTACACTAATTTTATTTTTATTTTTAAAATGATAGAAATTAGGGTAGGACTTAGTCGTGGCAGTTGTGTCATTCAATTGCCTAGTTGGTCTATCAATTAAATTAAATGTGGCCTAGTGTTACAAGTGAAACTTGTCCCTTATTGGATTTTAATGGTGTGTATAAATGAGTGGATATGCAGCACTACCCTAATACTTCGAACTTTTGGATAAATGGGCAAGCGCCCACCCCGTTACAGTTTGTATCAGAGTCAGAATCAGTTCTTAATCTGGCATCACGCCAAGCGCCAGGCCCGGAGGGCTTTCGGGTTTATCCCCGGGTAAGCAAGGTAGTGGTCCGACAATAACAAGGGCGTTGCGCGGGTTCGGGTGGAGGAGAATGTTACAAGTGAAACTTGTCCCACATCAGATTTTGATTGGGATTGAAGTGTGTATAAATGGGTGGGTATGCAACACTACTCAATAATTTGAGCTTTTAGGTAAATGGGTAAGCGCCCACCTGTCGAGCTTTTACTTAAATGGATAAGCGCATGTTACATCTCCAATCTTATACTAACAAATTGACCCAAATCAAAGTGGAGCCTACGGGTTGTTTTGGAAAACCAAGTTTTTAGCATGGGCCCAACCCGATCCATATAGAAAGGTAAAGAAACACACTTGGGGCTAGGTCGAGCACAAGGACGAGCCCAGACCAAACTCCACGGCACATCTTTAGCACGTGGTACCATGTGCCTCTGATGCGCAGCAACAACACATACGCCGGTATACTCAGCGGAGAGGAGAGAGAGACACACACAGACAGAGAGAGATGGAGACAAGTGTGGACGAGTTGGAGGAGAGAGAGATGGAGATGGAGGCATCGTCGGAAAAAATAGAATATGTGAGCTACGGTGGGGAGCATCACCTACCCCTCATCATGGGGCTTGTGGATGAAGAACTCAGCGAACCCTACTCCATCTTCACCTACCGATACTTCGTCTACCTCTGGCCCCAACTCTCTTTTTTGGTATAATATACTTCTTTCCCTTTTCTTCCTACAATAATTATAATTCTTAATTACTTTTTATGTTTTTTGTTTTATTTTATATAATAACAATAATAAATTATGTGGCGGGCTTTGTGTGATTTTCAGGCTTTTCACCAAGGCAAATGTGTTGGCACCGTTGTTTGTAAGATGGGAGAGCATCGGAATACTTTCAGAGGTTACATTGCAATGCTCGTCGTCCTCAAGCCTTACAGAGGCAGAGGAATTGGTCTCTCTCTCTATATATATATATTATTTTAAGCTTTTTATTATCTACTAAATATTTGGTATAAGTACTGCACTGGAATTACATTGGGTTCATAAGGAAGCCTTCAATTGCCGACAATTACATTATTCTGACACTTAAAGCTCTCTAAATTGTAGAAATCATGGCAATGCCCAAGTCTTACTATTCTAATACAGATCCCAATCTATGCTCAAGAACTACATGTATTGCCTTGGTTTAATTGATTATACTTCCAACTATGATTCTAGAATCAGAAGCTATTATATTCCAAAAGGACCAAAACCATGTAACTGCAAATATTAATACATCTCTCAACCTTCCATTTATCTCAAAGTTCATGACAATTTTAATATATATGTAATGCTAATAACCATAAGAAAATGTTGAAATATTAGATAAATTATTAGACTCATTGCATAATATTGTCATCATATACTTTGTAGTGGAATGTAAAGCAAGGTTTTACTACAATGCGTGGTGATGATACGATTTATATGTCTTAATGTGAGTTATGGGACAAACAAATTATTGAGTTGATAAAGAGAGGTCATTGCTTTGTTCAAAGGTAAAAGTTCAACTAGGTTTGAGTCTCAGAGCAATCACTTTGTGCAAAATAATGCAAAGTTTAACTTTGTCTCCTGTAATCCTTGCCTACATCTTTGCATAGGCTGGGTAAAGCCCTTTTATCGATACATAATTTAGTAGAAATCATTTATATCCAAAGTTAATAAATTGTAGGAGTATGTGTAGAAAAGATCATCACTTTTTAAAAAATAAGATCAAATGTAGAAAGATAGTTTGAATATGAAGATTAAGAGTATTTCTTTTTGAGATGATGTGTTAACTACAATTTTTTCTTTTGTTTAATATATATTCCTGCTATTTAAGTCAATATTTTCTCTTATTGCAGCTACAGAACTTGTTACCAGATCTATTAAAGTTATGATGGAATCAGGTTGTGAAGAGGTATGTTGTCATTGCAGTGTGGCTGTTCCTTGGGGTTATTATTTCAATCAGGCAATATTGCTTCCTTCTTTTTTTATTTTATTAGAGGAAAAACTCTTAGTTCTATAACTCAGGGGTTTGAATATTGATGTAAGAGTGTATCTGTTTAATTCACTTATTCTCGTACTTGCTTCTTCATGACCAAAATACTAGAGTTTTCCTGTTCCTAGAATATTTAGAGTTTCGTAAAGATAGAGTTCTAGACAAGAGGCTAAGACAAAAACTACATAAGGGTTTTTTGAAATTTTTCTTACCTTCTTATTTTTTAAAGGTAGATGGCAATTCTTACTCAAAAAGAAAGAGAAGCAATGGCAGGGGACATTTCTTATGGGGCTTTATCTACTTTTACACAATTTAGTATGTAGATGGGACAAAACAGAAAAGACATAAATTTAGGTGAAAGGACATGGGATAATGTTAATTTGAGGAGCCTCTAGAATCTAGATTGAGAAAATTAGTAATAAAATTTATGTTACAGTACTCCCAAGAATAAAAGATTTATATCCAGGATTCCAGTCCATCCTTGCCGCACCTTGTTGAGATAGGATGAACACCAGGTAGTGGCCGTTTCATGACTACGTTTTCTGAAAATTTAAAGACTGAGCAGGGAATACTACGACAACATTGAAAACTCCTTTTCACGAGGAGCTATCACCCTTCTTGTTTCTTTCTTTTTTTTATAAGTCAGGAGCTATCACCCTTCTTCCTTATTGTCTTCATTTTTTCACCCTTGCACACAGTGACACTGCACACGAACTTGTGCATACCTGCTCATGCACTTAGGTGCACACATAAGGTTTAATAACATCATCATTATCCTTGCCTTAATCCCATATGAATGGGGCCGGCCACATGAATTCTCTCTCTCCACTCCTTTCTATTACATGCCATTACACCTACTATATTTAACATTTTTAAGTCATTTTTAATAACCTCATCCTTTCTGTCTCTTACCTTCTATTACAACTAGTCTTCTTCGTTTGACCGACTTGTCACTAGGTCTCCAATGTAAGTGTCCAAACCAACTAAATCTACTCTCTCTAATTTTCTCACCAATGGATGCCACGGCTAATTTCTCTCTCTTTAATTAGTGACCCAATCTCTTCTGGTAACACCACTCTCATCCACCTTGACATTTTCATTTTTGCTACATGAAGGCATTGTTCTTATTTCTTTTTTAGGGCCCAAATCCCAACACTCCGCTCCACACAACATAGTTAGTCTAGTAACCTATAGAATTTTCCTTCTTGCCTATGTGTCATTCTTTTATCACATAATATCCCACTAGTTGGCTCCATTTGTCCAACCTGCTCCAATTCTACTAGTTATATCCCTATCTATCTATCCATCATTTTGTATTATCGATTCACACGTAAGGTTTCGTAACATTAGAGAGAAAAGACGGCCTCTAAATTAAATTTTAAATTAATTTCGTAATTTGAAAAATGAAAACTTTCCTTTCACTTTTTAATATTAAAGATTTGCCACAACCTACTTTTGAAAATTTTAGAGGGAAATTATAGAAAATTCTTTTAAGTTTTTGAATATTATAAATAGGCCCCATTTTATTTATTTATTTATTTTTATAGAAATCCAGTGGATTCACACAATACTCCCAAGAACAAAAGCTTTATATTCAGTTCACCCTTGCCGCACCTTGTTGAGACAAGATTAACACTAGGTAGTGGCTGTTTCATGACTACGTTTCTGAAAATTTAAAGATTGAACAAGGAATACTTCCACAAGGTTGAAAACTCCTTTTCACAAAGATCTATCTCTCTTCTTCCCTATTTTCTACCTTTTCTCCCCCTTGCACACAAACATGCGCTTGAATTTTAAATTAATTTCTTAATTTGAGAAATGAAAAAACTACTTTCACTTTTCAATATTAAAGATTGGCCACAACCTACTTTTGAAATTTTTAGAGGGAAATTATAGAAAAATTCTTTTTAAGTTTTTGAATATTATGTAAAATGTCCCATTTTTTTTTCTTAGATATCCAGCAGATTAACTTGTCCCTTTCAATTCTATGCAGCTCCTCAAATGGTTGTTGAGTTTTATATCTGATTGCCTCCTGTTCTGTTCAACAATGCTAGCTCCACACAGTGTTGTCTTTAATTTCTATTACATTTGTTGCACATTTTTTGATAAGCATCTCCACTCTAGTTACTCATCTCGATCTCTATTGGAAAATCCTCCTCAATCCAACCTTCTGGATGTGTGGTCTACTAAATATAACAAGGGATGATAATTATGCAGCCTCAAGCCTAGTGATTTTGAACTGAAGGAGAGAAAATACTGCTCATTTTGTAACAATGCAGTGTTGAGCTTGAGACTATTTAGACATGTATTCCATGCCAAATTAGTTGCTCTGAGAAATCATTGTCCATCAATCTGTGCTAATAATTTTCTTCTTTGGTAGGTACTGAGCCAACATAATCTCTGAGTCCATTCTCTTACTATGGTTGCATGATTGCATCACATATATGTGCATTCCTTTTTTTTTTTTTTTTTAATTGTCTCTTCACATTAGTCATTGCCCTGTAATTTGTAAATATAACACACACACACACACACACACACACACACACACACACATATATGTATGTATATGTACATGTGGTTCTCATTTCTTTCCAAACTCTTGGATTTGAAAGCCATCCAAGCTTGCTGTATTTTGCATTCACACATTTTTAGTCTCTGCACATGAGTTGATGCCCTGTGATATCCAAAACATATATGTTATAGAAACTTGTTTTATACATGAATAATTGATGCATTTGTCTTGTTTGTTTCTTACAATAGCAAAGAATGTGTTCACAATTTATTCACTTTATTTCTTTCTTCTCTCTACCAGTCTTGAAACCTTGACCTGTGGCTTGAAAGTTAAGACCTAAAGCCACCAAGACAGGTAGACCAGTACAATTTCTTCACTTCTAACATTCTCATTGTAGGGATATGAAAAGAATTTGAAATCTTCCTACACTTTACACAGGCACAAGTAATCTATATATTGGAACTCCTGTTTTTCTGGAATCTTAGAAACCTATTTAAATTGTCTACGACTCTAATGCTCTTTCTGATTCAGCCATACTCCATTTGATGTAACAAATCCCTACTGCATATCCCCCGGTTGTACAGTAATGTGATTTGGATGTATTGTCTTATTTTGTCAATGCATTATATCTTTCATGGTCAGAATTGAAAATGTAAAGTTGTTAGCTCATGATTTTGTGTAATTCTCAAGGTAACCTTGGAAGCAGAAGTTACAAATAAGGGAGCACTTGCACTATATGGCCGTCTTGGGTTTATTAGGGCAAAAAGGCTTTTCCGTTACTACCTGAATGGAGTTGATGCTTTTCGACTGAAGCTATTATTTCCCCACCCAGAGTTATACTGTTCCCTTCCAATGATGGCCACTGGAAATGAGAGCCATGGGCAAAATGATCATGTACCACCAGAATAAAGTTCTCTGCTACAAAGCTCAAAGTTTGAAATATGATTATTAGACAACTCAGTCTACCCTTAAAAAAGAAAGATGTTGCAGAAACCACAGAATGTTTCATTGTATTGTAGAATCATAGAGGGTGTTGTACCATATATTTGTGACAGAATTTATCCTACATATATTTCCTTCGCATAATGTTTAATTCTTTGCAATTATTCTTTGTTACCATTTAGAAAACTTTGTTCCTTTGTACTACTACTTTTGGAGCAGCAGGACGTGAAACCATGAACTCTCTTGTTTAATTGGCAAATAAGCATCCCGTGTCATTTTAACATCATGTTATGCACTCTCGTCACCATTGCACGAGTGGGAGCATGAGTATGCACGCATGTAACCACCATAGTTGAGTGAAGTCAATAACAAATAGGAAACTAGGAAGAAGAGGGATCATATTGTACACGACGCCAGGAGTTAATTATAAAGAGTCAACAGATATTAATGTCATGCACACAAAACCATCTCAAGTATTGATAAGATAAAGTGCCCTCCTGATACAAAATGGAAGAGATTATACTGCTTATATGTTCCTTCAATTTCTGCAGTTGATTGGAATGAAAACATCTGAAAGTCCCAAACCTGCTAAAAAGTATCTGTGTTTTCGGTTTCTCACTCGCATCATGTCAATAGTTATTGTATAAAGCAAAATACAAAGATTAGGATAGCAACCACAAGTAATTTTGCTTCTTCCACTATTATCCAGTTGTAACGAGTAGGTGCTTCGCGATCCGACCCAAAAACTTAAGTTATTAGGTAGGGTTGACACTCAGGCCATATATATCCAATCACTCTCCCATCCGGATCCGACGTGGGACAACTCTCTTCTTGTAACATTAATCCACTTTTATATGATTCAGAAGTGCGAGTTAACTATTTATGGTAAATAGTAGCTTATCACCATCTTCTTTTTTTCCTAGTTGATACTCACGCGCACATGTTTCTTCTGAGATTTGAACTCCTGACCTTCCTTTGAAAAGTAAGAAGCCAATACCACTAGGCACAGACCCGTTGGTGTAGCCTATCATCTTCTTTCAAATTATCTCAACTTTGGACCATTTTCTTTCCCTGTAATCCTTTTTTTGTGAGCAAAATCAGCTCGAATTCACCTCTAGAAGGAACCACCAATATTACAGGACCAAAGCCCCCAGCTAAACCATCTATATGGTCTTCAGTTACCACCACCTGGTATGTTGTTTTTACTCGCCACTAGTTGATTCACAGAAAACTTTAACCTTCCCCAATCATCTTTCATCACAAAAGCATCATTCGAGGAGTGGTCAGAAATTAATAATTTTAAATGCATCTCATCAATTGCGCAACATATACTTAAACACACACGGGTGGGGGGGGGAGAGAGCTGACAACTCATTTGCCCTAATCAGCACCTCCCAGTAATTCACTGTTTAGTTCTAATTCTACAAATGACAACTGCGCCCAAATGGTTCAATTCGCAACAAAGATGTACATGACGAAATTACTTTTAACATTTCATAGTTTTCTATTGTGCAGTTAAGTGATGACAAAGGGAATGGAGGTAAGAACATTTTCTGGCCATCAAGAAAAATAGAACCATTCCCCTCTTGAGGCTTAGGTTCAATATTTACTATAACAACAGTAAGAAAAATGTTTTCCAGCTTAGGTTGCGATTTCTCATTTCCTATGTGGCAGTCTGATTCCTGTTTGCATACATACAAATAAAAATATTTTTTCATCTTAATACGGTCAAAACCTTATAGAGCAAAATGAGGAGGGTAAATTATAGGTGTTGCAAACTTAAAAAAACCATAGTAACATTCCAAAAAAGTAAAATCAGGGTTACATGCGAAATAAAATACTGGCCTAGTGCCTTACTGAATGGTCAAGTGCCCATCAAGAAGCAGTCTCATCTAACTCCATATTGGCCTTTGCCCGATACTGACGACCTGATTTCCTGCTTTTATTGGCAGCAGTTTCTGCCTCATCTTCCTCCATTGCACAAACTTCACTTTCTTCGGCACACCCAGAGGCAATGCTAATGGGCCAACCTTTTTTGTGCATAGACTCCTTGCAAGCACTTTCCGAGTTTTGCTTGGACTCAGTCCTACTTTTTACCATGGAACTGTCACCTAGCTTCTTTTTTGGAGTGAAGGTTACTGATGTAGGTAGATCAATGGAAGTGTCATCTGGCTGTGACTCACTGGTGTTTGACCTCTTCATCAGATTCAGAAAGTCTATGTAGGCTTTCCTATTAGATTCTTCATCAACATCACATGATGAATCAAAAGTATAATGTGTGTACTTCGAAGGATTCTGTATATAATCAGGAACACCCGAAGAATATTGGGGCAGGGAAGATGCTCCTACTGGCACTCTAGGTTTTTCCATTGAACAGGTTTCCAGTGCTAAATCTTTGGCTCCTTCAGACTTTTCCTCACAATCATTTGTACATCCAGGGTCAAACCGAACACGTTTCTGTGATTTCGGGTCCATCTGATTTTCCCTCCTCTTCAGAATCGACTTCAAGTGTACAACATCTTCTGACGTTTCACTATTGTTGGTATCCACAGCAGGTCGACCAATACATTCAGAAGATCGTGGAAACCCAAAATTACTAGCTGCTTCTGCATCTTCTTTAAGCCTAATTTTTGCAGCCGAGTGATTTGCACGAGGGTCTCTTGTGACATCCTTAAATGTATCGGGAAGTTCGTTGTGAGAATTTATATCTGTCCCATAATCAGTAATATCACTCATATACAAGCGATCACCGGCCTCTTCCCTGCCAACAGCCACTTTGTCAAATTCATCTTCCTCGTCCTGCAGAAGAATTGGAGAAGATAAAAATTTCAGATCCAGAGTCTCCATTTGAGAGGGATAAACTCTTAATGTAGAAATTAAGAGCAAAAATAAACTCTTACGCTCAGGCAATATGAAAAAATCATGTAAAGACATTAGATGGTACATTAACAAAAGTATAAACTGTTGGCACTTGCTGTCGTTTAGTGTGGGCAAATTTTGTAACAAAATCCAAAGTTTGAGTTTTGTTTATTTTAAATTCAGAGAATACCTTTGATAATAACGCATCAAGATAAAGAGATTAACTATGGTCATTAATTGAAAAAGGTGAAACTAACTTCATGATCACCAAAGTGGGTATACATTTTATGCATTGATGCGTTTGGGTATGCAGAGCAATTCTCATACACTAAGTTTTTAAGCAAACTGGACGGAGTTAAATTGAGTTCCAATCAATCAAGCCATATATGGATGGATCTACGGATGAATGCCTTTTAAAAAACACGTGCATCTAGAGAGAGACTGTATTGTGAGTTCTTGTCTTCTTGATGGATGGATCAATGTATGGTTGTTGTGATGGTGCATATGGAAGGAGGGGAATAGTTGAAGTGAGCATCTTTCTTCGCAGCGGGGTCTGGGGAAAGAATAGGAAAGGTGATTTCGGTATATTTCTGACCAGGAACAAGGACTATTATCAGAAGAATAATTTTTTTGTCGGGGCAATATCTTTGAAAAGATAGATTGCCCATCTTTTCTTTCATCTGGAGTATAGCTAAGCTATAGCATTCAGTATTGAACTCATTGTACTTTTGGAATGAGAAAAAGAATATGAGATTGGTTAAGTTTTTATTGTAGATTTTGGGTGGGGTGTATATGAAACTACTATAATTTTTGTTTACATGGGGCTCCTTCTCATATATAAATCGCAACTTACATGGATTGTGTTTCCTGTATTGAATCTTTTATTGAGTTCATCTTCAATTTCTTATATTGAATAAATGATTATAAGGATTTTATTATTATCAAAATTTTATTTTTTAATGCACTTCCACCTAGAAAACCAAAAAGATGATATGATAACAGATTGATCATGTCTTGATTACACAAACACATATTATATATATATATAGATAGAGAGGGAGAGAAATAGTAATAAGAAGATCATTAGATGGTGGTAGCATACCTCGTAGTCTAGAGTAGGATCGAGACCAATGGAGGATCGAATGTCGAATTCAAGGTCATCTGGTTGTCTGAGTAGTTGACGTGAGGATCGCTGGTTTCCATCATCTTCTGATTCTTCAAAGTCGCTGAGGTCTTCAAGTTCGTCGGCCTCCGAAAGGTCTTCAATACGGGTGGGTCTATTTTGTCGGTTGTTGGACGGGTAGGGTTGAGGCTGGAGATGGTCCAGGTCGGGGCTATCTCTTTCTCGGTTCCATTCTCTTCTTTCCTTCTCTTCGTCGGTCAGACACCACTGGGAAGTAAGAGACGAAGATGGAGCTGGAGATGACGATGACTTTGAAAAAGCGAGAGAGCCGAACACCTTGTCCACACGAACCCTAAAACTTTCTTCCATGGATGATGATGATGCCTTCCACAGAGCAAAGCAGAGATCGATTGATTAGGGTTTCTTTCTTTTCTGTTCAGGTTGTGTAATAACCCTTCCTTTCTCTTGCCCCGTAGCCAATTCTTTCTTTTATAGGCTACCCTACTCCTTTCCTAATTCCAACTAAGCGATCTTTCTAAATCAGTCCTGCCCACTTACCAAAGTTGCACATCTGGGCTTCTTCGAAGTTGGGTCTAATATTTATCCCCAATGGACTATTTTTTCCTGACTTAATAATTACACTGAATATGGCCTAAATGGATGCAAATTTTGCCAAAAATTTACAAAACAAAAATCTAAGTCAGGTCAAGCGAGAGCACAAAAATTATAAAATTAAGTAACAATTAGTGAGAATTTGAGTTAAAGTGCACGCGGAGTGTGAGAGCAAGAGCATGTTCGGAACAGGAGAGCGACACTTGTTGAGAATGATTCTGTGACTTAGATAAAAATACCTATTATCAAGTTTTGTCACTAACAACGCTAACAACTAAGAAAAATATCAAAAAGCAAGCAAGTTCAAAGGGCATTTTGGTCCACGAAAAAAACTGTACTTGGGGTTCAGTATCATGTGCCTCGAATTTCATGTGTATATTTTATTTAGACTCTATACATGGTGTTTTCCACGCACATACACCATTAATCTTGTTTTTTTAGTTATTCCTATTATTCAATATAACTCCTTAGTCTTGTATAATGCAAAAATATTATTTTCCCCTTTACAAAATTACCCTTCTTGTTCCAAAAGTGTTGATGTTTATTTGGTAACATTTGTGTAAATTATGGAAGAATGCTTATTTGGTTAATGTCTAACTACGGATTTTAAAAACAAAATTGAGTGGAAAAATTAGGAACAAAAAAATTGAGTTGGAATTTAAATGGGGCAGAGGGACTTATTAAAAAAAATTTAAAAATGGGGCAGGGGAAGGGATACTTAAACATTGTTGTGACAAAATCGAAAAACTTAAACGGGAGCGAAAACGGAGAAGGGACTCAAACCGTTTCCATCTCTAAATTAGATTCTTTAGGTTGGAGTTTTTCAACCAAACCCAATTAGAGGCAGTGTTCCTAACTATATATCATCCGCAAGAATGACATTCATAAATATCCTTTTTTTTTTTTTTTCTTTTTTTAATATAAATGCATCCTCCCATCCCATGATTCATTCATTCAGCTGAGCAGAGCTCCCAAAAATTATAGTTAGAATTACCAACCAACAAGATGCAAGCAACAGCTTTGTGTTTGGCACCAAGTTGACACCAACTCTTCTCCCTTGTGTCAAAGTCTTCCACTACTCCAAAAAGTCTTTGATATAGTTGTGAAACATGCATGCCCAACTAAAGCCTCCCAGATAAAATATTATTATCCAAAATCCAAAAATGATCTACAGTACAATACAACACATGAATCAACCATAACAGGGAAAAAAAGGTTCCCAAATTTAAATGGATCATATATATAAAAAAGACATTGATCATCATGATGAACATTCATTTGACAATCTTGAAACAGAATCATTCTCATATCCGTGTTTCAAGACTACTTCGAAGAGATCATTCTCAAAGAACGCAGAATGGAGAGCCCTGACGCATTGTTCTGCTTCACTGTCATTTACTATCATTGAGATGTTAACCTGGTTGACAGAAAAAGCAAAAAAATTAAAAAAAATGATGTGTTAAATAGATACTATAAGTTACATATTCACTTAATTATTATAATCACATCTACTGCTCTCAAGATTTTCCATAGAGATACTGGGCACCAAAAAAAGGAGGAAGGGAGGAGGGGGAGGTCCAATCCTAGAACTCCACATATTAGAAATCTTGACTATTTAATTTGTCCCAATCATGCTAAACCAAATGGTGCCTGTGTATGCCTTTTTGGTTCGTTTGAATATGTATATATTGACTGCTTGCCAAAATCTTCAAATCTGTTAGTTCAAATTTATAGGCACGGGAATCTCCTCAGTTGGTACATTTAGCTATGGATCCCCGACCATTCAACATATTTAAGTGTTCTGTCATGTTGCTTTAAGACCTATGCATGGGATGCAAAGCAGACCAACAACTTAAAACAAAAATGCATATGCAACAGAGAACATCATATGTTTGAGGCCAAATACCTTAGATGCACCTTGAGAGATCATCTGAACATTGACTCCTATGTTACGAAGAACATGAAATGCCTGCCAAAAAATGCAACAAGAATCAATACAACTAGTAAATTGTCATAAACAAACGGGCAGATAGATGATGAGCAAACCGAGCAGCATTAGAGGGCTAATGAGTCGACAGACTGATAATCTATTATCACTATGCAAATGGTGGGAAAACAAAGATTAAAAAGAAAAAAAGAGGGTTAGTGAGGGTACTCTGAAGCAACATAGATGAAATACACTTTCTTCCAACACATTGGTGGGGGTCGCAAAAGACCAAGGTTGAAGTGAGTACACTTCCTTCAACACCCCCACCAACAATGCCATCTTTTGCTTTATTTTTTGTTTGGTTGTTGTTATTTGTTGCTTCTGGAAGAGTTTTTTCCAGTGGTTTGTATGTTTGAGGAGCCATTCCTCTGTTGATTGTTTAATAAATTTGCCCAGGGAAACAAAAAAAAAAAAAGAGAGAGGGAGAGAGAGAGAAGGGAAAAGAACATGCTTTATCTTGACAAGAAACTCACACACCCAAATTGCCCCACGGAGACTTCAACTCTTGACCTTCCACTTTGGAAGATAAGTTAGTACCCAATATTCATTAAGAGTTCAAAGTAGAGGCTATGTACAGGTTATTCTTTAATGAACTTTCAATTCAAGACACCCTAAGATGGGGAAGTTGGATCCTGATTGGTGAACGAGTAGAATGAAGAGACTACACATCAATGATGTATCCCTACAAACATGGTTGTCATTATAAAATAAAAGCTACAAAAAGAAAAATTGAATAAAAATAACTTGACTCAATCACTGAATCAGGTATGCAGGTTTTACAGCACCTTCTCTAGAATCAGTGAGGACCTTTGAACATTCCCAATGAGAGAGATGATTGATCTATGCTGAAGGAGATTTACAACTGCAACTTTTTCGAGTTCTTCCACAACATGGTCAAGTTCCTGCTCAAAGAAACATATTACCAACGGAGTTTAGAAGTCAAAAGTCAAAGCACGGGAAAAGGGAAAGAGAGACTTATAAGATAGTTGTATTAATTTGGGGGGGGAGGGGAAACAAGAACATGAAACAATATGCCTGCCTGCTGAATCAGTTCTCTGCTCCAGAGCTTTGATGGGTCCAATGTCAAGGAAATACTAACTTCACTAGTAGCTACAACATCCACAGATATACCCAAGTCTTCAAAGATTGAAAATACCTGCACAGAGACAATGCCAAGCATTATTGATTAGACTTAAAAATAAATTGAGCTGGCTGGCCAGAGACTAAAACAGTAGATTCAGCAATTACAACTTTTACCTTAGCGAGAAATCCAAATTGACCAAGCATGTAAGTACTAACAATATCCAACATAGTTACATTCCGTTTCAAAACGATGCTAGTTAGTACCGCCTAGAAGTGGAAAGAAGTCATGTTCAGCTGTTTCAATTTTTTATGCAATAATGATTTTCATTTATTGAAGATTGTGCTGCAACAAACCTTACTCATATCTCTTGTTCTAGTGATGAGGGTACCTGGGGCATTGGGGTTGTAAGAATTCTTAACTCTAACAGGGATATCTCCCTCTCTTGCTGGCCTCATGGACTGTGGATGCAGGACCTGTAAGGACACAAAAAATGTATTCAGCAAGTTCATTGTTTTATTTATTTATTATATAATTTCTGAGTTTCTTTCTCTTTCTGTCTCAGTTTCTGAAATTGCCAAAGTTTACAGAGAGTAAGACACAAATACATAGAGAATAACTGCTGAACATTGGCATCAAGGTTAATGACACCAGATTAGGATCATTCAAGGTACTTTTAGTTTAAAAAGTATAATTTTGAGCATTTGGATGGATAACACATGCTCTACAAAAAATAAGAAGCATAAAAGAAGGAACTTTGAAAATCTAAATAATTATGATGACACACACAAGTATCCAATCTTACTTCTTGAACCATCTCAGAAAGGGACAGTAAGTAGCCAATTTTTCTCTATCAGTTGCACACTCTGGTGAGGATAGGGGCAAATTAAAACAGGTATATCATAAATTTGAACCAATTTGCATAAAGTTAGAACTTTTCGATTAAGATGGAGATGCAGAACATGCTAAGGGGCGCATCAGGAATTTCACATGATGAACACCATTGCTATTGTGCAATCGAATTAAAGTTTGAGAATCTGACAGTTAACTTTAAGTTAATTGCGACGTGCGATACAGATTCGTTGATTTCTATATTCTTATTCTTCTATTCTCTTTTATTTGTTTATTTTTAAACTTCACATATGTTTTATCTTGATTACTGTTAATAACTGTCTTGAAGATCCTTTTGGTTTCTTAAACTCTACCATATCTAATCTCAAATTGACCTGAAACCATTCTCTAGCATTTCCCCGTTCGATTAATTCACACATACCGTGATTAGTTTCTTCCAGTACTTCCCTGTGATTCCTGCAACCAATCACTTTTAAAACCAATGATACCAATCCTACCATTTCCATCTACAAAAACTACGACCTTTCCTCTAACTTTAAAACCCTACACTTTGAGGGCTTCCAGAACCTTATTCCACCATTAGCCTGAATGTAGGCAGCATTATTCAAAATTTCCTAAATTTAGTTTGTTATCAAAGAAAAGTTCCCATCTTCCATTCAGGAAAAAAATAAAATAAAATTTCCCATCTTTTTTATTCAATGTTAATTTCTGTTTTTTTATATTGCCACTGTGGTGATTAATGTAAAGCTTGTATCTAAGTTTGAATTCGGATCAAAGAGCTTTGAAACTAGAAAAATAAATTTTGGTAAGAGGATGGGTTCTTTGGAGGCTACAGTTTAATCCCTAATGGCTTCTGCTGGGGGGTACCGCATTGGGCAGAAGACGATCCTGCCTTCTTTCATTAAAGTCAAGGAATTGGATGTGTATACCAATAGAAAAGAAGTCTCAAAAATTGAAATTTAAAATCAAGGAATGAAACAGCTGCCTTTTTTATTTGGTACTCTGTATTGTTGAGTTATACATAAAGACAAGTAAGATGATGTTACTGGTACCAAATTTGAAGTAGAAGTTAGTTGCAAATTGCGATAGCTGAAGAAGCAGAAAGGAAAACAATAATAGTGATGATCATAATACTAAAGCCAGTGAAGTCCAATTGGAGGATAATATCTGGTTAACAATGTGTCCCCAGAAACTCTAAAGATATTTTTAATTTGCAAGTCATTCTAGCCATCAATTTCATTATTTGAGGTATAGTAAGCGAACCAGCAAGCTAGGAATCAGATCGTGTCGGAGACGAGAGAGAGGGACCTGAGAGATTCTTCCTCTATAGATCTTCTTCGATGGTTTTCGGTACTTCTGTAAGCCTTGCACCTCTACTGAGTAAGGCCTGAGTCGCAGCATCAAGGTCTGACCCAAATTGAGCAAGGGCGGCCACTTCGCGATATTGTGCCAATTCAAGTTTTGAACTACCGCAGACTTGTTTCCAGATTAAATGGCATGATGAAACAGGACATTTTAATATTATCTAACTTTTTTTAATAGGAAAATTGATGCCAAATAAACATTGAATTTTACTCTTTTTAAGGATAAAATGCTGAAGCTACTTCCAACTTTTCTTATTCATTTTAGTTTTCTAAAAGCTTTCAGTAACCTTAGCCCACCACAAACCTAAAAGTAGGGCGGAATAATTTAGTTTTCTAGGAATTCCTAATCAGATAGTGTGAATGAATTAATTGAAAATCTAGTTGATTAAACAGCAATGGTTAACCCCAATAATCAGATACCGTGCATGAAACGATTGAAAATATAGTTATTAAACGGCATTGGTTAATTCCATAAATTTGGTGTCTTCAATTTTTTTTTTCCTTTGCATGAATATTTGAACAAAATACAATCACTAGGTAAATTTATTCAGAAAAAGTCATGCTAAAGTTCAGCCAAATATCCTGCCAGTTGAACAATTTGCACAAAGATGATATTCAAATGAAAATCATAGCCAGAACTAACACAGATCCTGGCCCATTAATACCCGTGCAAGCAATCAAACACAAGAGTGTAATGTTCTTATACTCTGAAAGCAACATCGCTTGATACCTGAGCACCAAAATATGCAAGTTCAGATGCCTCCTCAAATGTTAGAAATGGCACAGGTTCTGCATGTGGATATATGTTAGGATCACAAGCCAAAACACCATCAACATCCTTCCATACCTGTAATGGATCGAGAAAAAGGTTCTTAAATATTTTGCCTAGAATTATCAGATAGGAGTCATGTTACTCATATATATACATAATCTTGAAGCTTATTAAAATATTTAAAGAATTTTGAACTCCTCAGTATAACACACCGAATTTCTCTATACTTCTGATTTGTCCGTGTGTTCACATTTTCATGATGATTGTGCAGCTCTATCAACAAATCTCAACATATAATGCATTCAGGGTGTGGTGGTGTGCACTAACCTGAATTTCTCGCAACCCCAACGCTTTACCAATAGTGGTTGCTGTCAAATCACTACCACCCCTACCCAATGTCGTCACTGCACAAGATCTCCAGCCCTGCAATCACAAAATTCCAATATATCACATTATTATAGACCAACAAATTGAAAATCCCACTTAAGTTGAGCAGACACTATGACACCTTTAACAAAGAAAAAGTATAAGGGTACTGCAAGTAGAAAGACCTTTCCAAGGAAGCCAGTAACAACGGGAACTGCAGCATCACTCATCCAATCACTCTGTAATCTCTTTGCAACAGCTGGATAAGTTGCTTCCAAAATATCCGCATTTGTAAAGTCATCGGTTGTTATAAAACCAATATCAAACGCATCATACTGCAAAAACAATACACAGTGACAATCAGCCATTGTCAAAAGCAGTACTAGCAAAGGCACCTACAAGTACAGCAAAAGTATGGCCAGCAGGTAATGTGACATAAGGAAATAAATATTCTGTATAATTTACGACATTCAAATTATCTACAAAGCCCTAACCAATAAAAAAAGAAAGTATAAAGTATAAAATATTTACTCCCATCTGATCTTGCTAAAATTGCTAAATATATATTTATATATGTTCAAGTGGCTACTTCTGTCAGCTTATATATTACGTTGGTCAACCATTACATTGGTCAACCATACTTCTATCAACTAGAATTAATAGGCTTCCTCCATGATTGACGGCTCAACACAACTATTTCATAATCCCATCTGAGTTACTACCTTCTTTTTTCTTTTTCTTTTTCCCTGCACAGAGCCTTTCATAGAATAACTCTGTAACAAAGAATACCACATTTATCCCCTTGTTTCTAACCAACCACAAATAAAACCAATAATCTATCAAGAGTACTATGAGAATAGGTTGAAAGCAGCAGTTTTTAGATGTAAAATACATGGACTTAAAACAACACAACACACATCACTAAATTTAAACATATATCTGAACTGTGCAAGGAAGACAAGAAGTGATACACATTATAAAGCAAAACCTAATTACAGAGATTTTCAAGATTAAGCACAATTTCGAGTTGTGAAACCACCAAATAACATCTGATTCTACAAATAATCATTTCAATCCGATATTCCTTTTTTTTCTTTTTGGTTTTTTACGCCTTTCTGATGTACTGTTAAGCAACTCTAGACTTGCAAGTTCTTTGCCTTACAAAATTAATAACATGAGGTGCTGATGATACTGCATATATATATATATATATATATGTCTTTTCATAGAAAATTTCTTTCCCTTTTACGAATAAACATTTATTCCATTTGGAAATTCTATATACAATGAAACCTCTTCCTCAGCAGTTGGGATAAGTATAAAAAGAAAATGATGGTCTTATTAAAATAGATGAAAGAAAAATAAATGATGGGAAATCCACATCTAAAATCACAGGACGGGTGATGTTTGACCAAGAAGTAACATATAGACCCGAATTCATATCTCTAGCCACGTTCTTCATTATAGAAATTACTAAGTTATTTTATCACTTAATGGAGAATACGAACTTGCTAAGCATACTATACTTGATATAAATGATCAGAAAACATCATACTTGCCGGGCTTTAACACCAATTTTATTTAAATAAGCTGCAAAAATTCTTGTTGACATGCACTCCCCGAATGAGACTAAGTAGTCTTTTGTGCGTAGAGTCAACTCTTTCATCACAGCAATTCCCTTCAGAAGTTGCTCCAGTTCTTCTAGGTGTACTGCAAAATAGTTTTACAAAAAAAGTGAATTGAAAGTGAAAATATACACTAGTAAGATTGCATGAATATTAGCTCAACATACATGATGAAAAATAACAGAATTTATGGACCATAAACAAATAGAGGGAAATCAGAAGATATCTTAAAGAGAATCATAAATGGAGAGTATGTTTTACAGAATGGGCTGTCAATGTGAAAAGCCTCTATTGTCTATATCAACAGCTATATTTCATTGTACTTGTACTATAATAAGGCATATTATTGAAGAACTTGGTCATCAAGAGATGATGAGTAAGGCTGGCATATCAACTTGTATCCTGGAGAGTTGCTTCCGAAAAGGGAAGAAAAAGAGAGTATGAATTCTTTAACTTCATTAATGAAACATTTTCAAACTGTTATCAGTGGAATTCCAAATTTTTGAGGTGCGAACATCATTAATGGGGTTTCCCCAATACAGTTTCCGGAATTCAGTTTTAGCAAATCAAACAATACATGACCTAAATGTACCCCAAGTCAAATGTCATAAAATTTGATATCCATCTATGTATTTATGCATAAAATGGTGAGGAAGTAATACATAGTGCACACTGCACAAGTGTTAGAACAACCAGAAGGCATTGAACATAATATAGTAAATTCTTTACAGAGAATGTATAAACAGCAATAAGGAAACTTCAACTCGAAAGTATTCACATCAACATACAATAACGGAATGTTATTGCAAAATAGGAACTTACATGCAATGGTGGACCTGTCAACTCCCAGTTCATCAATGGTTCTGAAAAGAGTGTATTTATGGTAAATGAGAATGGATTCAACTTACACAAGGCAATTATGGATTCTAGGTATCCACATACCTGAGATGCAGTTCTTTCACAAATGTGAATTCATCAATATTGGAGACATTAGAAATGCCACAACTGACTGCCTTTTCTCCAGCCTAACAGACAAGCAACAAAATTGATTCAGAAACTTGTTAAGAGGGAAGTAACAACCAAACACAATTAATAAGATAAGGAATAATAACACTCCTACAAAAGAAAGTGAGAGGTATGAATGAGTATACCATCAAAAGGAGGTTAGTTGTCTTTCCCATAGCAGAGAGAACAATGACTGGGGTTTCTTCTGGAAAGCTGAGAAAAAGGTGAGCAACTTCTTTCATCCTCTCTGCAGAGGCTAATGAAGATCCACCAAATTTCATCACACATGTCAATTCTTTAGCTACTCTGTGACAAGTTTTATGCTTGGCATCATTCCGTTCAAGCACATCTATATTTGCTTTCTCACAATTGATGGTTAAAGCTCTTCTCCGACTTGAATTCCACACCGTTGTAGATAACTCAGAAACCGAAGCCATAGACACTCCAAAATGAAGCTGCTGGTGCTGCTGTGAAAACGGCAGCGGATGCCCGTGCCAAGCTCTCTTTGACAATCCAGGGTAGAGAGTTTTAACACCACATAAATGCATTGTATTGGCCATACCAATTGAAGACACAATGGATGATGAGTAAACAAGTTGTTTCGACAAATGAGGTACTCTGTGTTTTCCGAAAACCACCAGAGAGAATTAACTAATAATGTTTGCTGATGAAATAGAAATGTTGAAAGATCTGATCAGCTAATAGAATATTTTTGTGTATAAAAATCAACAAAATATGAAATGAAGAAAGAAATGAGATGGAGATACTACATAAAAGCCTAAATAGCTCTAATTGTGAAGAACACTGAAAAAAAAAAAAAAAAAAGTATAATTACGAGTAGTAGGGTGGTTTTGTGCTTGATTGATCTCAACTGAAGGAGGAAATGTGAGACTAATGTTTCAATAAATAAATAAATTTTAAAAAAAGGGTTTGGTACATATGATCCATAGCAAGCAAATGGGCTACATGAAAAAGAGTGGACGTACCTTGAGAGAGACAGGACAGGGCAGGGCAGGAGAATGAGGAGGCAATGCGAGTTAGGTTTTGAGACAGAGAGAAGGATGTGTGTGTCTAGGGTTTTGGTGTTTGCAATGGATTCCTCCCTCAAGTGGTCCGCTTGAGAGGGGGGGAAGGAAGGAAGAAAAGCTCAATAATAAATCTGGGTGAAACAGAAGAGACTCGGCGCCGCCCTCTCATTTGGAATGAATGGTATTAGGGAGAAGAAATGTGTAATTTTAATACCAGTAATACTTGGTGACCGACCAATCAAAATCTAACAATTGATTTTGTAATAATATAATTGTGAATCATATGCTTTTTCAGTCATGGATTGCTATGCTAGATATGCGTCTGCCTTTGTAAAGCGAAATTTCAACGCCATAAAATTGAAAAACTTATTTTTAGCGTTGAATATTGAGGTGATGTGACCTGTTTGCTGTTGTGAGTCCAACATTCTGACGCGGCGTGCGTAGACTTGGCATTATGTATGTACGTATGAATTAATAAACGTTTCGGAGATATTTTAGGTGGCCTTTCATCACCATCACCACTCTCCTTCCGGGAAAGCGCAAATATGACAGACAAGTCTGACCAATTTTCTTTCTAATTCTTCTGCCTCTTTTCTCCGACAATACGTACACTCATAATGCTATATATATATATATATATATACATGGGTTTACAATTCAACAACACAAAATTCTCTCTTCCCCCTTCTATAATAATAATAATAATAATATCCGTAGTAAAAAAAGAAATTATTATTAATTAAGATGGCTCTCTCATCACCACCACTCAACCATTTTAATTTAGTTTTTCTAATTACTCTGTTACCATCTCTCTCACTCATTACTTCAATAGTCGCAATCCCCCACTAACCATCATGCATCAATTCCCTCGCCCAATCATCAATGTCAACTCTGTGATGGACATTCCTTTGTTTTAAATGTTGAAATAAAATAAGAGGTTGATACCCAATTTGCAATATGTCCACTTGAATATCACATACACCATTATCCACGTCTATTACATACATTAAATAACAATTTTTTTCTGAATTAATGATCCCTCATAAACTTTTCAACAGTGCTTCTAACCAATATTGGAGGACATTTTTTCAAACATATATGATAAAGTAATCTCGTGGTAAAAATATTTTGAATCAGTCAAAAAGGAGTTTATATATTCTATAAATTTGGTTTTTTTTTTTTTTTTTTTGGTGTAAATGAATACTTAAATCTCTAAAGCAATGTCATCATTGACTTAACTCACTCACATTGAGGACAGAGTGAAAGTTAACATAGACCCTCTTTCTTTGTTTTAAACTAGAAATAAAATAAATGAATAAAATGAGGGGAAAAAATGATAGTGAATGAGAAACAAACAGAGGACGCGTTAATTAAATCAGCAGCATAACAGATGATGATGTACAAGAAGACATTTGGATAGAATTAAGGTTGTGGAGTGGGGAGGTCGAGATTTTTGAAGCAAGTGAATCCTCCATCCACAACAAGGTTATGGCCCGTTACGTACTTCGCTTCATCCGAAGCCAAATACAGGGCAGCCCTGGCCACATCTATTTCTTCACACTTGGCCCCCTTTAGCTCTCCCAACCCATTCACCATTTTCATTATCTCCTCTTTCCCAACTCCTCGGTAGAACTGGCCAAACTGGCCCAATACCAGCGGTGTCGGAATCGGACACGGTGAAATGCAGTTGATCCTCACCCCTTTTCCACACAGCTCGCTGGCCACGAACCTCACAATCCCTGGTATTGTAAATTTTGAGATGGAATACGGATACGGACCAAGCCCACCCATGAGCCCACTTATGCTAGCCGTGCAGAGTATTGAGCCTGTGCCCACAGGGATCATCACTCGGGCCGCATGCTTTATACCCGCGATCAACCCCCGAATGTTGATCCGCATGACTCTGTCGAACTCATCCAGGTCCAGATCCGCGATGCTCGGTGGGAATATTGGCCCTATTATTCCCGCATTATTGTACATCACATCAAGTTTGCCATAACGGGCTACAGTGATGTCCACAGCTTCTGCTACTTGAGACTCAATGGCCACATCACAGTGGACGAAGTGGCCTTTAGGGCCCATACTTTGAGCGACTTGAGGGCCCAATTGGCTATCAATGTCAGCAATGACCACTTGGGCTCCATGTTGGATGAACTCGGACGCCGTTGCCTTACCAAGCCCACTTGCACCCCCTGTGATTAGGGCCACCTTACCTTCTAGCCTGCTGCTGCCAACACATAGTGTCATTCAAATCAAATAATTTATCAACACTACTAGCTCAATAATACTACTACTATTGTTATGGATGAGACTGCGACATAAAATTGAGAAAGAAACGAATGTCCATGATAGCTAACGTTTGATACCAATCAATCAATCAATCCATCATTGCGCGCAAGACAGCCACAAAAAAGGTATATGCATATGCGTATGAGAATGTGAAAAGGGATAAGCTTCAGACAGTTTCTTTAAAGATGAGACGAAAATGAGAGCAGAGAGGTTGGTGATCTGTTTCATTCTCACAATATTGAATTCAACCCCATAAAAAGTGGCAGATTTCGAGTTGCATGTGCCACAGTACAATGATATATGCATAAATATTCCCTCAGGATAAAAAAAATAAAGCACGTTTTGTTGTTTTATTAATCATTAATTTCTTCCTACTCCGGCGGCTCTTCTATCCAACCAACCAAATTGTAACGAGACAATCCATTTCATAGTCGGCCAAGAAATGATGATGTGCTGAATTTAAGGTATTAGAACATGCAAATTTACTACAACTTGTTGTCCATATATTATTCACAAAAACTACTAAAATAAATTGAAGGCAGGCACCGGATTTTTATTATAAGAAATGTTAGAGGAAGAGTGTAATTTCCAGCTACATATATATATATATATATACAAAATCTGATTCAAACCACTCATTTACTGCATCCATTTAAGAGGAAGTATGCTAAAAGAAGAGATTATGTGGTGATTGGTCTTTTGATGTAAGAGATAACAAAGTGATTGATTCAATTCGCATACGAGAATTAAGCTATTAGCTATAACCTACTCCTATATAACAAGCCACTAAAACTATATATATATATATATATATATATCTCAAATGATCGGCCATACTATTACTAGCTACCGGATGTATAAAGATTGTTTTAGATTAACTAACTGGATGTATTTGGATTGATCGAGTCCATAAGCAAGCTCCTCCACTTTTATTGTTTCAGGCAGCATGAGAATTTTCACTTTTTAGTGAATAAGAAACCTATATAATATGTATACAAACACAAATTTTACACAGAAATGCCAAATTAAGCAGGAAAAAAAAATAAAAAATAAACATGGTTGAAAGTAAAAGCAGGAGCAGAGGGAATACTACGGTTACTCTAAGAGTAGCTAGTATCAATCGAAGAAAATCAATCTAATATTCTAAACTGATCAGAAAACGAAGCTATTTAAGTAAATCACAGAACATGATGGATGTGTTAAGTGGTATAGGCAACCACAAATTAAAGAAAGAAATGTGGGGTTTATATGTTTTCAAGTTGCTAAGCGCCGGCTAATCATGAATACATATATAAATGTGGATTAATGGGTGTCTCCGTCCCATGTATGAGATTAGAGAGCAGCTATATATTGTAGGTGTGAAAAGCATATATAGCAGTAGTAGTAGTACCAATTAAGTGGAGTAGTAAATTAAATAATGAGTTGATTGGAATCAATAGGCTAGGTAGGGTTGATGATCGAAATTCGAAACCGTACCTTCTAGCCCCAGTGCTCGAAGAATAATATCTCAAGCCCTTACACCACAATTCATCAGAGATCATCTTAAATTCTCTGCATAATCAAAACAACACGGTTCAATTTAGAGATATATATATATATATATTCAGAAGCTAAAGGGATGAGATGTAGAGACCTGTTTAGTAATCTGAGCATTGTGGTTGGCAAAAGATGTCAAGCTCCGATGGATCTCAGACTACCGCGCGCAATTACTTATAGTATATACCGCAAGTTCCTGCTGTAACATTACATGTATATATACATATTATATATATATATATATATAGAGAGAGAGAGAGAGAGAGGGATTGGCTGGCGAGAAGAGGAGAGATGGAGTGGCAGAGTAGGATTGAAGTTTAATTTAGAGCAGTGGGAAGGTCAAGCTTTTAAATACGAATAGAGGTATCTACCTAGTGGAGTAATTTAATATTATAAAAAATAAAAAATAGTAGTATATGTTATGCCTGCTTCAGCTGCTTTCAGCTGGGTGTTGGCAATGACATTTGGGTGGTTTGGCCTTTTCAGTTGTCTTGGTGTTGTGGTTCGATAGCTTTGTCCGGCTTTCAACTTCCGCTAGCTTTCTTATGCTGTTTATTTTCTTGACAGATCTGATGTTTTCAACACTAATACTTGTTTGTAATCTCTTCAGTTTTGTTTGGCTTGCCGCTTGCCAGGCTTGCTTGATGCGATGGCCTTTTTAGCTTTGTTTGTTTCTTTTCTTTTCTTTTCTTTTTTCATAAATTCTTATTTCCCAAATATATATATATATATATATATATATATATAATAACAATATTACAGTAGTAATTGTGTTCGGAACATACAGAATTAACTAATGTTATCGTGCTTAGGGATGATGGTAAATTACACCATTTCATTAGCTATGTGCGCACTCCCTATGACAAGATGAACAAGGTGAAGGAATAAAAACTTATGTACGTGGAGGTGGGTACGTAAGGACAAAGATAACTATTTCTACCCAGTTTGCATAATTATTTAAATTCTTTTTAACCATTTTTCTTTTTCTTTTTTTTTTTTTGGCCCTTTCATAAATTATAACACCAAATTATCCCTTTCTCACTTTAACAATTTATATCCCTTCAAAAAAATATTCACACTACAATTTAATTTGTAATGATTTTTATTGCTTAAGAAAATAAATAAATAAATAAGGGATGAAAAATGATACTACAACTTCAATGTTAATTTGATACCACCTAACAATGAATTCAAAATCACATCACATTGGTGTGCTCTTTTTATGAGTCATAGGATTGATGTAATTCAGATTTTCAGACTTTATTAATTATACAAATAGGTGATAGTAATTACTAAAGATGGTGACCACGTAGGTTATTGGTGTTGGAAAATGTTGAAAGAAAAATATTAATTACAAAATTGATTGGAAGAGGTAGAGAAATTAAAAGTGGCCTGTGCCTGTATTGATTACGGAGTCGGACTCGATCCATGCGAGTGAGCTAGCTGGCTTCTCTCTGTTGGTAGGACCCCATCCTATTTAATGACGACTTCTGCCTGTATTGGTAACAGGTAAGCAAGCTCCAACGGAACGGAGCGTAAATTAATAACACTCAGAAACCCTGGTCCCACTACCCCTACTAAACAATCTTGTGGGCCCACTCGTAAGTAAATTAAAAAATGCCTCATCGTTTGAGTTTTCTTTTTCTAAATTAAGAATAACATGTACTCTACACATCATACCATACCACGTACTATAATATTTTCATGATTTATAGAGTAACATGCAAATTTTTAATGACTTTGCCGGCCCACTACACTATCCATTTCATTCTCATTTGTTTATTTGTTCTAATAAAAGACAAAACCAAGCAAAACACCGAACATTTTTTCTTGGAAAGATTAGGACCTCTTTCTTATATACTACGTATTTAACTACTACACATTTTCTTCTTTTACGAAGCTTCTTTAATTCTTCTTTATTTCTTAAAAGGATTTTTTTTTCTTTTTTTCTATTGAGATGCTTTGCAGATAATTATTACTTTTAATATAAAGAAATGGAAATTAAAAATACCTCCATATATTACAATTCGAAAAACCTCTATATTGGTCTCATGAACATTTATGTCATGAATTTGAGCCACTACTGAATCTCATCACCATCACATTAATATTTAAACGAAAAAAAAAATGGTAAAAAGCTTCTACTGACTAATGAAGAGAGAGGAAAATACAGATATCTTTTCCATTTTCCTTTTCTAGAGAGACAAAGTGTGTTAATTAAGTAGAGAGTCAAGTCATATTTATTGGAGGGAGTTAATTTCGATCTATATGGTGCTTGATGGAGAGATGGAGGAGACTCTTAAATGTACGTGTCCACACGATCGATTCTAAGTTTTGTTTTTAGAATTTCGTTTTAATTTGAAACAAAACAAATATTTTGTTTTAGAGTTATTTGAATAATAATGCAAGTACATTTAATAATGTTCATTTGTTATAAGATTTTTTGAAACAAAAATATAAAAATATGTTTGGTAAAAAAAATATTACATGCTTGAAAAATATAATGGTTAATTTAAGAATATGAGATTTTTAATTTTTCTTTTTACTGTTCATTGTTACATTACCCCCATTGTTACAGTGCTGAAACATGTAAAAAGGGTGTTTCAATATTTGGACACTATTTACCAAACGTTTCAACACTGTGCAAAACAAAACATGTGTTTACCAAATTTGTTTTTTCTACTATTCACCGCTACAAAACTCGGCAAAAACAAAAAAACAAAAAAATCAAAAACAAAACGCATACGAAGCAAATCATGTTTCGTGAATAGTGACTAAAAATTGAAACACCAATTTGGTATTTTTACTTGTTTTAGTACTATAGCGATGAATAATAAAATTTTTTATAAAAAACCTTTAAATATATATTTTTTAAACTTGCAACATTTTTTCACTAAATATGTTTTCAAATTTTTGCTTTTAAAAATTTTATAACAAATTGGCGATACCAAACATGATTCCGTTACTATTTAAACTTCAAAATACTCTATAAACAAAAAATTTATTTAGTGGAATTAAAATAAAAATACAAAAACAAACATGTACCAAATAAGCCCCAAGTTGCAAGGACAATTTGATTTCCCTTGCCAAAAAAACGTGAACTATCCTTCCCAAAAAAAAAAAAAAAAAAAGTCAACTATAATATTCTTTAACTACAATATAGAACTGTACATGATTGATTTCCCTTCCAAAAAAAGTCAACTATCCTTCCGGAAAAAATAAAATAAAATTCAACTATAATTTTCTTAACTGCAATATTGAACTGTACATGATTCATTAGTGAGTTACTCAACTTACTCCTATATATGGATTAATTAATTTGACATTAAATATTTTATTTACCGCAAAATTAGTGGCCACCGGCCCAATAGTCAATGTACCTGTGTTGTAAAAAGAACAATATTTGAGTCCAATTCAAATTGTATAAATTTAATTCAACTTGTTAACGTGGTCTAATAAATTTAAAATAAGTGTCTAAAAGTAATAGTTAAGCACTGTCCAATTTAATTTTATATTTAATTGTAACGCTTGTGACAATTTTATTGGGCCACATTAGTAAGTTGGATAAAGTTCATCTAACCTGAATTGGAACCATATATGGATTAATTAATTTAAAATATTTATGTTGTAATAAGAACAATATTTGAGTCCGAATTGTATAAATTTCATCCAACTTGTTAACGTGGTTCAATAAATTTAAAATAAGTGTCTAAAAGTAAAAGTTAGGTAATATCCAATTTAATTTTATATAAAGTTCATCTAACCTGAATTGGAACCATATATGGATTAATTAATTTAAAATATTTATGTTGTAATAAGAACAATATTTGAGTCCGAATTGTATAAATTTCATCCAACTTGTTAACGTGGTCCAATAAATTTAAAATAAGTGTCTAAAAGTAAAAGTTAGGTAATATTCAATTTAATTTTATATTTAATTGTAACGCTTGTGACAATTTTATTGAGCTACATTAATAAGTTGAATAAAGTTTATCTAACCTGAATTGGAGCCATATATTATTCTTTTAATATATATGTAATAGATGCATCATCGGTTGCTAAGGTCACGGTGCTGGGAAAGCTAAACGCAACAAATTAAGGAAAGTATAATTATGACCAAGTTAGGAACTCGATCTTTGAAGATAAATTATTTGATAAAAGACACATATGAAGCTTAATTTTAGTTAGCTGCTAAAAACATCTTCTTCTTCTTCTTCTTCTTCTTTTTTTTTTTTTTTTTGATGACCCAAAACTCCCTGAAACTAGGCCCCTTGGGGACCCCACTCCATGGCGCTAAACTGGAGGTAATGTAGCACAGTCCCGGGAGGTTCGAACATTGGCCTGTGGAGTGCAAGCGCCGAGCTCCTACCATCGCTGCTACGCCCCCGGGGACTGCTAAAAACATCTTCTTCATGTGAGATCTTCAAATTTTATAGGCAAAAGTTGAAATAAAATAATAATAGTAAAATAAAATTTTGGTTTCACCAAGTAAGCAAAATATTTTTTATAATTTAAAAGTGAGCATATTGTCCCCATGCATTTCACCTCTAACCATTTTTTGTTCATAATATTGTGATGCAGATTATTGATTTTTTTATTTATTAATACTGAAAGTACCCTTTAATATGACCGTTATACCCCTCTTCCTATAAAAATATTTTGTATTCGTTTGTTCCAATCAAACCCATTTTTGCTCTCTACTTTTAATTTGCATATGCGCTCTAAGGTAATTTGATTTAAATATTTAAATAAATAAATATATTTATTTATTTATTATGGTAAGTTGTATATACAATCAAATATATATATGTATATGTTTATATGCATTTCTTTCACTTGTTTCTTCTATTACCTGCTAATTAGTTTGGTTATCATTACGGTACTCTCAATTTAAAAGTGCATCCATAACCATTAAATATTTATCAATGCAATAGTTGAAGAGAGGTTTTTTTCGAAAATTGATAGTTGAAGAGAGTTGATCTCATGATGAACATGCCCTTGTGATATAAACTTGTCAAAACATTACATGTATACATTATTAGTACATAGTCCACATACAAGAACCTATGTATGCTTCACTCTGTTTGTTCTCTACTGAACCCGACCATGAATAGAAATGAGAAAGCATCACAATTAAAAATATATGTATATACAGATGAGAAAAAAGTGAAACACATGTTGGGAAAGAAAGAGCAGGAAAACTGGGTTCACATAATCCATGCGGAGGCCCAAATGAGAAGTTACACTTGGTCAATTTAATGTATTAGTTTATTTTAGATGAATTTGAGATATTTTGCCTTTTATATTTTTCTATATTTAAAAAAAAAAAAAAGAAAAAAAAGTTAATTATAGGGGATAGTTTGGTAAATGTATAATGACATCCAACAGAAAGTGGCCAGAGGTAAAATGTAGGAGGGCAATTTGTTCACTTTTGAAACTATAGAGACTGATTTGCAGACTTGGATCCTCTAAGTTATTGTAAGTTGAATTTCTTACGGAATGACACGTAATATTAAAAATTTATCTACTACTTGCTTTAAAACACGTCAATTAATTTAAAAAAACTTTGAAAACTATACCGTTTTGAAATAAGGAAAATTTACCAAAGTTTAAAAATAGTACTGTTTTGAATTAAGAAAAATTCATCATACTCTAACGACGTTTAACATTGTTATCTCTCGCTGATCTTTTTCAGAAAAGATCCTCCCTCCCTCTCC